ACTTTTGATTGTAAAGAAGAACCTTCCGTACTGGTTATAAGCATTACAACAACAATGGGGAAAAATTGGAAGAACAAAAAGAAAGATTGCACCTTCAGGTTCATGTAAGCTATGGGAGGCAATATGCTTTTTGAGTAAACCCTCAGCTAATAACAACAGCTTTTCCCCACCATCACTATAATGCACCTGTAAGAATTTCAGTAACTGCAGCATAAGCAACTTGTTTATGAATGCCTTAATCAAGATTTAAGATTCAACTTCACATACTCAAGCGAACAATCATGTTTAATCACAATATTATAGTAACTGTTGAACGATCTAGTAAACTCAAACTAGAAAAGAAGCCCATTCTCTCTTAGTTACATAGAAGATTATATAGTCTGAAACAAGGAATGAACACTTTGATACTGCAGTTAATACCTCATATGTTTGAACTATGACAAGATTTGAATGTAACAGAGTACCAATGTTTCAAGAGTCTGCACACTCGACATTCATTAGGCCTTTGACGAAAGAATCAGTAGAATACTAATATGTGAATTAACCTGGGAGTTCCAGCATCCAAGAAACTAAAGTTTTAATCAATTTCCCAGGAAAATGTTCCATGTAAAGCTTGTGGATTCAAGTCTACGACCCCACTTAATATGAAGATGGACTTCTAATTTCGTTTTTTCCCTCCGTAGGAATAACATCCAACAGTCTGATCACATACTCCAACAGCTACATAATTGTAGAAAAATTCAAAATCTTTCATATTTAGCCCTACAACATATCTCCACAATCTGTTCGTAAATTTGTCCATCATCCATTTGTGCTCTCTGCTTTTCTGCACTCTATTTTCTTTTTCTTTTTCTTTTCTTCTTTTTTAAATGCATTTACTATTCTCTTAATTATGAAAGTAAATGCTAGAAGTACCGTTCAGCCATTCGAACCTGCAATTGGATGCTACAAACTGCCCAGAGCAAAAATCTTTCTTCACCTGCAAGTTTATACATCTTGATGGCTGTCTGTGAGGAAGAGAAGGAAAAGGAATAAGGACTTTAAAAATATAATAAAATTAATAAAATGAAAAAGGTGCATTCTAGTCATTCAAGGAGCATCAGTAAAAATGATATTGACAGAAACCAACGTACAAATAAATTTTGGGGTTCGGGAAAGGTGGCAAGTGTGGGACAAAAACCTGCTGCTGTTTAACAAACAAATTCTCGCGGACATAGCAGTTGAAAAGCCCCATCATCAGATCAAGGTGGTTTGGAAATTTTCCACACGCATATTCATAACAGCTAGTTGCAAAGTCCACTGATTGCACGTAGAACAATAAGATAACTCACAATGAAGAACATGAACATGGATATACATCAACTGAATTAGGTGAATTCTACTAACTGTGGTCAAGTCGCTGGCAAACACTTTGTAACGTGCTCAGAGTAAGATCGTCCGTCAAGAAAGAATCATTCGAAAACAGTAGCTCTTTGGCACTTAAACAGACAGATAAGGCTTCCTCAGGCTTCCCCATTCTTTCCAAAACCAACGCTTTAAGTGCCTGAAAAAAAATTTAAGTTGATTCATTGCCTTCAAACCTACTCGATAATCATACATTCATCCACGCATTCTGAATTGTTAATGCACCGACCGATTTAGAATAACTTATAAAAAGTAAGATCAGGGTAGCCTGCATGCTTAAAGAACCTCATCAAGAAAAGCACAATTAACAAAATAATGAACATCGAAGCAACCTGAAATGTTATCAGAGTGCTTTCCTTTTCATTTCTCGTATTGTGGAAGTGGAGAGTGTAAAAACAAGGAGCTTCCTATAATCCAACTAACGTATTCTCCACAGTGCTAGTAACAGACAGAAATGGAGGCAAAAGGAGAAAACCGCATGCAAATTGCGATGAATACGCTAATCACTATCAAGAAATGCCAAACACCAAAGCAAGAATCATCGATAAGGTACAAAGAAGCCAAAATCACACAGAATCCTAATCGGCAGCAGAAAGAGAGGGGTTGTATTTCGTTACCAGGACGTACGGCGCATTCGGATATTTGGCAAGCAACGTTGTTATAACTTTGAGAGCATTCTTATACTGCCTCGAATCTATGGCGTCCCATATCGGTCGAACTCGCCGCTCCGGCAACCCCCCGGCCAGACCGAACTTGGACGCCATTGAAACTCCTCGAACGAAGTTGACGAGACGCGAATGCAATGATCCGCTACGCAAATTGAGTCAATCAGCAATCGTTTTCCTGAATTAAGTTGGAAGTTGGTGTGTGGCTAGTGGTAAACCTATTTAAGCGTTTGGAAGTAGAGTAACAGTGGCGCCGATCGAAGAAATTCCGACAATATACATCGCAATCCAGTTCCAATCCCGCTCGAACTTGGTTTTGGGTCCCCTAAACCGTGCCCGACCCGCCAAACCTCAACCTTTTTTTTTTTTTTTTTTTTTTTTTTTTTTTTTTTTTTTTTCTTTCTTTCNGTTTTAATGAAAATAAAAAATTTTAAATGGTTCAAATATCACAATTCACTCTCCAACCGGAGATCTCAATCTAACTTTGGATGCTAATTTGCATGTCTGAGACATGTGATCTCACAGTCTACTCCATTTGTGACACATGACTTGGTGTCTGACTCTAATATCATCTGTAACAATTTAAGTTCACCGTTAGCTTCACGATTTTAAAATGTTGTATTAGAAAGAAATTTTCACACCGTTATAAGAAATGTTTCATTCCCCTTTTCAACCAATGTCTTGACTCTAATATCATCGTACCCTTTTGCTCTTATTCATTGTAACCGTGATTAGCTCAAGTCAACTTAATTATTTTCTTAAATAAAAGAAATTTATTATTTTACTAGTTTATTTCTAAATACACACTAATGTAGAAAAATAATTTATTTTCTTTTTTTACCAAAAAAATTCATACGTGATTAAATGGGATTTAAACTAAAAAATTAATTAAAAAAAAAAAAAAAAAATATATATATATATATATATATATATATATATATATAGCAGAAAAGTTACGGCATCTCCCGCGCATTTCGGTTTCTCCTGAACTGCAGATCGATAGCAGAGAAATGGAGTGTGGAAGAACTCTTTTCGCCGAAATTGGAGGGTGATGGAGCGGATGGATATTTGCGATCAAGCAAACCAGCTACTCGCTCTGTCGAAGAACTCTCCATTTACTTCACGATAAGTAATCTCGAACTGTTCTTCTTACAAATATTCATTGTATTTGGTACTGCTTATGAATCGGAACAATATTATTTCCATAAGGCATGGCAAATATCAAAGAACATGTTTCGATTTCAATGGGGAAAGTTAAAACTCTTTACATAAACGGCTTAGGATGAAGATCAATTCCGAATCTGTTTGAAGCCGAGTTGCTTGAGAATGGAGTCGGCAATGAAATAGTAGGCTGATTCTGTAGGATGAACACTATCCCAAAACAAGTATTTCTTAGGATCCTCGCACGTTGGTGTCTCTGGATTACACAGGGGTCCTGTTTCCGCCAAACCGGTCCCACAGCACCCTTTTGTCGTTTGGACGAAACCTGTATGATGAATTGCGTCAAACAAAACCAGGTGAAGCTTACCAATAATAATGATTAACCGAAATTTTAGGACAGATAACCTAATTCCATGGCTTACCATATCTTTTTGGATGATTGATCATGTCGATCAGCGGATTGTAAATGTCAACGTGGTGAATTTTGCTTCCAGGCAGTAGTGATTGTAAACCGTGCAGTAACGTAGTGAGCTTGTGATTGTAAATTTGGGAATCTGAGTTTTGATTTTCCAGGCATTTTCGATTTTTAGGATCCTGGAATGCTACAGTTTCTTGAATAGGTAGGCAACCAATTGGAGGAAGCCCTACTACAAAGATGGTGCGACATCCAAGCTGATACAATCCCTATCCATTTTCACAATAAAATTCTTAGCTGCTTAGCTACACAACCACTGGAAACTCCTATGTACTTTTTGGCTTAGTCTAATATTTGAAGTCTACTACCTGTTTTGTTCCTTTCACATGGGTAAAATGGAACAAAAGTTCACTGCACTTTTTAACCCTTAAGTTTGCATCCGATAGCCATTTAGTCTCTGTGTTTTCAAACTTAAGTGTGATTTTTAACCCATAAGCTCACTGCACTTTTTAACCCTTAAGTGTGATTTTTCATTGTTTATATAGGTTGTTTGTTCTAATTATAGTGAAGAAGGATGTGAAGTCTACTGATTATAGGTCTACCTTAAAACATTAGTAGAAACTAAAATTTATTGGTGTGAAGTCACATTTTCTCCAAGAAGAATTTAGAAAGATGAAGAAATGATGAATAACAAATGGGCATGATAAGTGCTTATATTGAAATGTTAGCTTTAGGTTTGCCCTGGTAATGCAATGTATGGTTTGCAATTGAATTTTGTTAAGAGATTATAAACTAACAAAATTTTGTGCAATCACATATATAGTTACCCTTAAAACTTGCCTCAGTAATATTACCTTGATAAGACTTTGTAGTCTGTTCTGCACAAAGGCTTGGTAACCACTGATATTGAACTCCAATGACCTGCTGGGAATGTCATAGAAATTAAGAATGAAGTCATTAGATCCTGCACTTACAATAACCAAAGCACCTTTGAGAATCCTTTTAGCCTTCTCTTCTCCCACAATTCTTTCAAGTCTTTGAATGTAATTCTTGAAAAGATCGATCTGCTTTAGCATTGGAATGACTCTTGATCTACTAGTTGTAAGATCATCATAACCTGACCCTGCTGACCCAAAACTGACTCCGGTTCTCAGGTCACCATCAGATAGCATGGGGTCCAGAAATGCAGGAACAAGTTCCTTTATCCCTAATGTTGATGCCAGAATGTCAGGAATGAGTTTCCCATTGGAGAACCTTCCTGTGGCTATATGGCCGGGGAAATCTCTGCCATATGGATTGTAATTAGCTTTGAACAAGGTGGGAATGTAGTTGTTATTACCGGGATCAATTGTAGAATCACCAAATATGAGAATGGCAGGAAAAAGTCGAGAAGTTTTAGGCTCTACAGCATTGCATGCTCTGCTAAGAAGCAACCAAATCATGTGCACTGCAAGAGCAATGAAGTTAGCCGGTGCCATAGCCAGGTTTTCTTTAAACTCTTTTTGTCAAAGTTTATGCATTTATATCAGTTGCTAAGTGAATGTCACTTATAAATTATTCTTTTTAATTTATTTATAGAAAATAAAATCCAGAGATTAAATGTGAGACCTCACTTAGGTTGGAGAGGAGAACGAAACATTTCTTATAAGGGTGTGGAAACCTCTTCCTGGCATACGCATTTTAAAAACCTTGAGGGGAAGCCCGAAAGGGAAAACCCAAAAAGGACAATATATGCTAGCGGTGGGCTTGGACTATTACAAATGGTATCAGAGCCAGACACCGGGCAGTATGCCAGCGAGGACGCTAGGCCCCTAGGGGGGTGGATTGTGAGATCCCATATCGGTTGGAGAGGAAAACGAAACATTTCTTAGAAAGGTATTAAAACCTCTCCCTAGCAGACACGTTTTAAAACCATGAGGCTAATGATGATATGTAATGGGTCAAAGCGGACAATATCTACTAGAGGTGATCTCGAGTGTAACGTTAAAGCATTAGTGTTTCTAATTTGGGTGATCATGGAAGTTTGATGAAGCAAAAACAAGTACTATAAGATGATCATCGGTTGCATGGAGTTGTAACTTCTAGTTTTGATATGATTACAAAGTAAATATGACACAAACAAAACAACAATTTAAGTCTATACGTTAGGAAGTTGCAATATTTGAACATCTAGACGGTTGAGGCAGCAGGTAGCTATGCTAGAATTTCTTCCTTTAATTAATGCAGGTGAGGATTTTCTGGTGTTACAGATGTACGACAATTATGACGACAACAACCACGACAGGAACAGCAACTGGTAAACGAGGCTAATTGGGAATTAGTGTCCATTAGGGGGTCATAATTGTGGGAAGTTAATGAAATGGGCCTTCTAGCCGGCCCAAAAGGAAATTTAGGGCCTTGCCCATATTACTCGAATGCCAGAGGCACTATATAGTTGTCTAAAATTAAGATGTTCCATTATAATTGAATATCGAAAGTTTTGGATTTCATTAAGACATAACATTCAAATTTATGTCTAGTTGATCAATTAACTTTCAGAAATGTCGAGTTTGTCAGGAGCTTATTAGACATAAAAATGAAAGTTTAGGGATCTATTAGAAAATTTGAAAGTTAATGAACTAAATAAACATAATTCTAAACTAAATTTGTAATTTAACCATTTTGAGAAAAAAGAAGTACAATAGAAAAGAAAAGAAATTAATTAGGATACATCTTGGTTGCCCGTAGATTCTGCTATAACAATGAAAATTATAATTAGCAAAACACCAGACTACATAACATGTACATTGCCAATAAAAACCTCACTTCCTTAGAAACCATTTATCCTCCTCTACTTTCTCTCAACCAAAACCCTCAGCCAACCTCTCACGACTCACCCTTTCCCAAATATCCCAAGTTTTCCTCACGTGCAAGAATATCCAAATAAACTGTGTTAGATGTTTCTACTCGTAGGCTTAAATCCAAACTTGTGCTCAAGGCCCAAGAGCCGTAAGGAAGAAGACTTGAGCTCGGCCTGCAATGTGGGCTATCGCTTTAAAGATGATTTCTGACCTGTAGAGGAAGTTCAATGACACAAGCTTCAATAGGAAGAGATCAAAGAAAAGCATAGAAACATTGGAATTGTGAAGGCATCACAGTTTAAACAGATATCCTGAAGAGAGAAATATACAAACAATTTAGAGATAGAACCATTGTGAAGCATTTAATCTAGCTAACTCACCTTTGATGCTTATCCCCAATAACGTGGTGTCCTTAAACACGAAGTACACTTCTAAAATAATAGTCTGTTTACACTCCTAAAATAACATAGTCCAAAACAGAGGGTGGTTACAAAGACATGGTAGGTTGATCTGCAAATACCATTCATTGTTAAGGGTCAACATAATATCTCATCCCTTACCTACTGAAAGATTTTGCTGCTTTAATGGTTCAGAAAAGATTTTGTGCATATTTTTTGGGCGTATGCATTGTTTAGAAGAAAGCTTTACATCAGATAATGGACAAAACTTTATTCTAGTGTACTGCCCATTTTGCACATTCCACTGTATTTGGAAGAGTACTTCAAGACAAAAAGGTCTACTTTTCTTGACCAACGGAGTATGGTTTGAGAATCATTTGTTTCCATCAGACATTATTTGATATGTGGGTTCAAAAAGTCTTAGGCTGATGAGAAGGCTTTATAGTTAGACTTGGAATGACCATCTAGAGATATAATGCACATGAGTGAAGTTTAATTATTTGTGTGCGATATATTGACAGTAATCATTCATTACTTTATATCAGGATCGGGAACTTTCATTGGCATTTGGCTCTTTTGGCAAAATGGAATTGGATATTTTTAAATGAAGGAAATGCTATGTGACGTAAGCTTATTAATGCAAAATATTATGATACTGAGAGAGCTTGTGTATGGCCCCGCTTCATTCAGAGGGGTTCTAACACATCTCCCTAGCGTATTATATGCACTACTTTGGATTTTGGTTGCCTCTTGTGCTCACCGCTGTCTGGTAATGGTCGGTGTATTTATTTTTTGGCATGATTCTTGGCTTAGTTGTGGAGACATTGATACGGTATTTCCTCGTCTTTTTTGCCTTTCTTCTGTCTAATAGTACAGTAACAGAAGTTTAGATTCCATCTACTGCTGCATGGGATTTGAACCTTAGTCGGAATCTTAATGATTTGGAAATAACTAAGTCGACCAGTTTATCTCATCTCTCCTTTTTTTTTTTTTTTCCCATCTAATTTAGGAATTTAAATGACTATTATGGTCTTGGCCTCTTGATTCTTCCAATGTCTTTAGTATTAAATCTCTTAACAAGGTAATTATAGGCGCCAAAACAACATTTACTTGGTACTTTGGAATGATTCCTATCTAAAGAAGATTAAAATCTTTCCTTTGGAGCTTAGCTTTGGAGCTATAAATACGACTAACCGTTTACAAAGGGGAATGCCATATTTCAACCTATCCTCTTCCTAGTGTAATTTGTGTGCTGCAATCTTAAGAGACTCCTTAGACACCTTTTTGCTCACCGTCTATTTGTTGCTAGATATTGGGAAACTGTTGTGGATGCTTTTTCTTTGTCCTTGACCTTGCCTGACAACATGTTTGATTTCCTGGCTTCTGTCTTGGTGGGACACACTTTCATGGTGCAAAACAAGCTGTTATGGCTTGCTATCAGCAGAGTTTGTCTCTGGTTTATTTGGGGCGAAAAAAATGGACGTATCTAAATGAATTAGTACGTTCTTTTTTCTTTCTTTTCTAACAAAGATTTTTTTATACATAGTTTGGGATGTGTCAGAGTGTTGAAACTGTAATAAACACCACACGGTTTGAGAAGTGGGGGTGTCAGTGAAGCGAGAATGGGACATATGGTACGTTTGGATCAGAAGGACCATACCAGCGGTCTGTATCTTTCCAACCATCCCATCAATTAGAGGGCTCTGAAAACCAAAACCTCACAAGCCCACGTGCCCCAACCCCACCACCTAAAACAATTTCGGCTAAAATATCATTTTTACATTCATATACTTTGGTTTCCTTATTATTTTAATCCATCGCATTTTTAATGGTTCAAATTTAGTTGGCTGTATCTCAATAAATTTTAAATTTAGCATCTTTTTTTTTCATAAATATTAAATTTAGAATGCTTCTAAAAAATAGGAGCATTTTGTTGGTGTATTAAACCCACCAAATAATGGTAGCTGGGTTTGTAGGAAAGTTTGACAGGTGTTGAGAGAGTTGGCTATAAGAGATATTATACATGATGTTGGCAATGGAACCAATACATCTCTCTGGTATGACTCTTGGCTGCCTATCGGTTCTATAGTGGAGAGTTGTTGTTTTTCTATTTATTTTTTATGTCATCTACCTTGATTAAATTATAATAATGATATAGTCTTCTATGCCTTTTCAATTTAGAGGATTCTTAAATGGGAAGACAACCAACTAGGAAGGCCAACCACCACAATATTGACATCCAAGTTGGTAAATTTCCTATCCATTTTAATATAGAGTTAATAAATAAGAAGTGTTTATTTAGAACAATGAGTAGTTGATTTATTAGAATATTTGATTCAATTTTGGAAGTTCAACAATTTTTTAGATTGAAGTACTTTTCCACTACTGAACTTTCCAAACGGCCTTATGGCCAAGGAAATCTTTGCAGTATGGAGGGTAATTATTCCTGGTATCTATTGAGGATTCAAACCAAATAAGAATCGCAGAAAAAGAATGAAAAGTGTTAACCTCCAAAGCACTGCTGGATTTTCTAAGAAATAACAGTCAGATAGAGCAACAACAATGAGGTAATAAGCTCGTGCTGTTACAGGTACTCTTCAAAGTTCTTATCGTCCTTAGATATTCATCTTTGCCAAGTTGGTGCATGAATTTATAGGGAGACGATGAATGTTACACAATCTCATTATCATTTTTTCATGCAATGAGAAGCGAAGAAGAATTCTCTCACTAAAAAGGATGAGTTACTTTGTGAGATCCCACATCGGTTGGGGAGAAGAATGAAATATTTTTTTATAAGGGTGTGGAAATGTCATGCGTTTTAAAAACCTTAAAGAAAAATCCGAAAGGAACAATCCAAAGAGGAAAATATTTGCTAACAATGGACTTAGACCAATACATACCGTACACTGAATATATAACTGCCGAGTCTTGAAAAACCTCAACAATTTTATTTTAAAACTTAGTTTTATTTTTAAAGTTACTTTCAAATGTTTCATTAAATTTTTTATGTAATTTAAGTAACTCTTTTAACTCCCAAATGATTCATCAATCACAACTTAAAAAGAAATATTATTGGGAAAATAAATTCTGATCAAGTTTTTAAAATAGTCTTCTAACTTTCAAATGATCTATCAATCATTCAATTATTCTCAATTATTCTCTCTATGTCTGTGAACAACTTAAAAGAAATATTACGAAAAGAATCATAGAACTAGAACTCGGTTGAAAACCCATCAATTTTGATTCAGTGATCGAAAAATTGCTTGAAAAGTGATTCAGTAATGAAGTTATAGGTTGTTTCAGTCGGATGAAAGCTATCCCAAAACATAAATTTTGATCGATTTTTGCACGTTGGGGTTAATGCATTACGTAGAGGCCCTGCTTTAGCCAATCCAGTTCCACAACAACTTTTGTTTGTCTGCTCAAAACCTGTTCGATAAAATGCCCAAACAAATTTAAGGTTAATTAAATAGATTTTTTTTCATAACTTGATTTCTCCCAAATATTTGCAGGCTTACCATATTTGTCGGGATTATTGACCATGTCCATGAGTGGGGTGTAAATGTCAGCATACAAAATTGTGCTTTCAGAAAGTTGAGCCTCTAAATTTTTCAACAACTCTGAAAGCTTTTGATTATAGGCTTCTGAATCTGAATTTTGATCTTCTACACATTTTTCAATTTTGAGGATCTTTAAATGATAGGGTCCGTTGAATGGGAAGACAACCAATTGGAGGGAGTCGAGCGACCACAATATTACGACATCCAAGATGATAAATTTCCTAAAACAAAGTTAATTAGATGTGTGATCCAACTTTCAAGGTACTTTTTAAGTATTTTTTAAATAAAAGGCAAAGTTCATTTTTTTTTTTTAATAATTTAACCTTACATTAAATATTGATCAGGATTAATGAAGTGCATATTGTATAAAATTTGCTTTGTAGTTTGCTTTGTATAAAATCTTAGATAACCACTAATATTGTATTGCAGCCGTCTGATAGGAATGACGTAGAAATTGAAGGTTAGGTCATTGGTTCCTGCAATAATGACCACCAAAGCACTAACCATAATTCTTTTACTTTGATAATTTAGGATCTAAGAAGGGAGGAACCAACTCCTTTATTTTCAATTGAGAGGCAATCATGTCAGGCATGAGTTTTCCATTACTGAACCTTACCGTGGCAACATGGCCAGGAAAGTCTGTACTATACGGAAAATAATTGCCCTCGAAAACAGTAGGAATGAAGTTGTTATTCCCCATATCTACAGTAGAATTACGAATCCATTCGATTTCTAAAAAGGATTACTAATCCTTAACTTTTCGAGGAATCCTTCATCAATGGTTGTGAATGACTGATTTTTCTCAATCTTTTCGATTTCTAAAAAGAATTAGGAAGCTTAACCTCCAAAGAAATTGCATGGTTGGCTAAGAAACAACAGCCAAGTTATGTAAAGTGATAGAGCAACAATGAGGTAATTAACTCGTTTCATTGCACGTATGCTTCAAAGTTCTTATCATCCTTTTAACATTCATCTTTGCCAAATTTATAGAGGGCTTATGAATGTTACTCAAGTGTTCTTTTTAGTAAAAAGCTGAGTCACAGAATGTGTTGCGGCCTACCATCTCTGGCTTTGTCCTCTTAAAGGACCCCAGCAATTTAGAGCCAATGACAGCCATATGTTTGGTACGCTGTTGGCAGAAGCAATTATGGTTTGATTTGGTTTTGTACATTTTCTTTTGCAATTAATTTAATTCCATTTGGTTATATATCCTCAAAATTATATATCTTAATCATCTTAATCACGTGAAATTCATGATTAGATACAGGTTAGTTATAAAATATATGTTTGTTTTTTAGACTATGTTCAGAATGACTAATTAGACTAGATAGTTCACAAATCTTACCGTTTACGGATACATATACTAAGAGTAGATCTTTTAGATACTTCAAAAGATCATTATTTTCCTATGTTGAACTGAATTCTTATCCATTAAAATGGAAGCCATATAACACGAAAGTGTAATGACCTATTGTACACTTTTTAACGTTTAAGGATCAAATAGTTATAAGAATTCAAGCGTGCAACGTATTTTAATTTTGGCGGTCTGTTGCAGGTGAGCTGGTGAGGGCATGGTCGGAGGCTGTAGAATGAGAATGAGGTGAATTTGGTGGATGACCCATGAAGCTGCGTCCCCCAACAGAGCAAGTGGAGATAAAATCTTTATATAAACCCTAAAACCCATAAGAAAGAAACAGAGAGAAGAAAAGAAGTGGATTTGCAGAGGCCATTAAGGCAGCAAACTTCAACCACTTCCCCATTCCTTCTATGTTTCCCAGTAAACCCACAAACCCCAAAAATAAAGTTTTAACGTTCGGTAAAATCAATGTTCTTTTTAACCTGCCACCTAAAATGCCTCAATAATGTCTTATTGTGACCCACTTTAGCTTGTTTCCCAATGGTGGGACAATTACAAATATTAAAATTATTAAAAAAAAAACTTTTGTACTCCAAAAATTATAAACTTTTATCATTGATTAATTGACTTTGATTCGGAATTACACTAGGAGTATTGGTTGAGTCGAAGTTACACTAGGAGTATAGGTTGAGTCGGATCGACATTTTTAAACCTAATTTAATTATTTCGTAAATTTTTCAACCATAACAACGATAAGTAATGAATTAAACTCAACCCTCAACCCAATTTTAAAATATTGGGTTGGGTTAGTTCGAGTTTAAGTCATTTAATTTTATTTTTATTTTTATTTTTTAATTTTCATTTAATTAAAGCTGACTCAACCTCAATATCTGTCACATGTAGTGAATTTAAATTATTTAATCATGTTGTAATTATTATATAAATTATTTAAGGGCACTGTCCTGCAACTCCCTTGCTTATTCTAGTTACCAAACAGGCCGGAATTTACTATATAATTTAATAAAAAAATCCCCATATTGTTGATTTTGTCCGTACGAATAAAATTGGGAGTTATATATATATAGTTCATTGTTCTTTATTCTTATTTCCTCGTTCAGAGTTGAAAATTTTAGTAATTTGCTGAAATGGGTAACAGTTTAAGGTGTTGTTTAGCTTGTGTTCTTCCTTGCGGTGCTCTTGATTTGATCCGAATCGTTCATTTGAATGGCCACATCGATGAATTTGCCCATCCCATCACCGCCGGCGATGTCCTAAAAGCGAACCCAAATCATGTTCTTAGTAAGCCTTCTTCACAAGAGGTCGTTCGTCGGATTCTGATCCTCTCGCCGGAATCTGAGCTCAAAAGGGGCACTATTTATTTCTTGATTCCGGCGAATTCTTTACCGGAGAAGAAAAGAAACGCCGGAAGCAGCCTCAAAACTCCATCTTGCACCACCACCGGAGACAGTGATCCTTACCTCTCCGATGTTGTATCCGACAAGAAACCGTCACGGCGGGACCGCCGCGGCGCCCGGGTTGTCGTATGGCGGCCCCGTTTAGAGAGCATTTCTGAAGACTAAAATAATATACTTCACATGTAAAAGTTTTGTTTTTCGATGGCGCCGGGATCCGATTTTTCGGCCGAGATGATAAAACGTATCGGAGCTGTAATTTCGGGTTCTTTTTCTTTTTCTTTTTTTACCGGTGGTAAGTTGGCTGTTTTTCATCCCATTTTTGTTCCGAGGTAAAGTGAATATATAGATCTTATTTTCTCTTAATTTTTTTTTTTTGTCAATTATTATTGTAACTTACGACATACTTTTAAACCCATAATGCCATAAAACTAGAGCTCGGTTGAAACTCATCAATTTCAATTCACGTGATCGAAAAACTGATTGAAAAGCGACTCAGTGATGAAGTTATAGGCTGTTTCAGTCGGATGAAAGCTATCCCAAAATACAAATTTTGATCGGTTTTTGCACGTTGGGATTAATGCATTACATAGAGGCCCTGCTTCAGTCAATCCAGTTCCACAACAACTTTTGTTCGTCTGCTCAAAACCCGTTTGATAAAATCCCCAAACAAAATTCACATTAATTAAATTGATTTTTTTTTCATAACTTGATTTCTCTCAAATCTTTTCAGACTTACCATATTTTTTAGGATTATTGACCATGTCCATGATTCGGGTGAAAATGTCAGCATACAAAACCGTGCTTCTCGAGAGTTTAGCCTCTAAATTTTTTTACAACTTTAGTAGCTTTTGATTATAGGCCTCTGAATTTGAATTTTGATCTACTACACATTTTCGAGGGAGATCTTTAAATGATAGTCTCTTGAATGGGAAGACACCCGATTGGAGGGAGTCCAACAACTATAATATTCGGACATCCAAGATTGTAAATTCCCTAAAATAAAATTAGCCCGAAGTGTTTTCGAACAAAAATAGGTAAATTAGAATATTTTCAAGAACTCAAAAAAATTAATTGAAACTTGGAACGACTTAATGTTGATCTAGCTAAAATGGTGTACCGATCTAAATTGCAGGATATTTTTTTTTATAATTTAACCTTGTGTCAAATATTGATTAGGATTAATGAGTGCATACTATATAAAATTTACCTCGACCACGCTCTGTAGTTTGCTTTGTACAAAATCGTGATAGCCGCTGATATTGTATTTCAACTTTTTGATAGGATCATCGTAGAAATTGAAGAGTAGGTCATTGGTTCCTGCACTAACGACCACCAAAGCACCTCTAATAATTCTTTTACTTTCATCCATACCTACAATCCCTTCGAGCCTTTGAGTACAATTCTTGAAAAGATCAATTTGCTTCGTCATCGAAATTACTTTGTTCATAGTCGATGTTAGATCGTCGAAGCCTGTGCCGGCAGATGCAAAATTGACCCCTGTTTTGATATCATCATTTGACAATTTAGGATCAAAAAACGGAAGAACAAGCTCCTTTATCTCCAATTTAGAGGTCATCATGTCCGGTATGAGTTTTCCATTACTAAACCTTCCCGTGGCAACATGGTTCGAGAAATCTTTATCATATGGAAAGTAATTTCCCTTGAAGTCAGTGGGAATGAAGTTGTTATTCCCAGTATCTACAGTAGAATCACCGAATATGAGAATTAGAGGAAAATAACGAGAAATCTTAACCTCCAAAGCATTGCATGTTTTGATAAAAAAAATAACAGCCAAATTACGTGAAGTGATAGAGCAACAATAAGATAATTAGCTCGTGCCATTGCGCGTATGGTTCGAAGGTCTTGTCATCCTTTAGCATTGATGTTAGCACAAATTTATAGAGGGCTTTGCCAGAAGTTTAGAGCCAATGACAACCATTGTGTTTGGTATGCTATTGGCTTGAACCAATTATAGTTTTGATTTTTTTTCTCAATTAATTTAATTCCATTCATTGTATTTTATTATGTGGGTAAGATTTTTCATTTTTAGTTGAAGTTGTGGTCGGATTGTTGGGAGAGAATGACACGTTACCTAATTTAGAGAACGATTATGGATTTATAAATAAAGAATATATCTCCATTCGTACGAGGTCTTTTGAGAAAGTTGAAAGCAAAACCATGAGTTTATGCTCTCAAAATGGACAATATCATACCATTGTGGAGATTCGTGATTCCTAACATACATGGTATCAGAGTCATACCCTTCACTTAGTCATGTCAATAGAATATCAAAATATCAAAAAGTTGTGAGACTTGAAGGTGTAGTCAAAAGTGACTATCAAAGGCTCTAGAGAAAGGAGTCGAGTCTCGATTAAGGGGAGACTATTTGTGAACTACATAGGTCTCAAGGGAGGCTCTATAGTGTGTTTTGTTCGAAGGGAAGCCCAAAGCAAAACTATAAGAGTTTATTCTCAAAGTGACAATATCATACCATTACCGTGTTCATAATCGAACCTTAGATACCTGTGGGTCGTTGCAAGGCCATTTAAGGCAGCAAACTTCAACCACTTCCCTATTTCTTCTATTTTTCCCAATAAACCCACAAACCCCAAAAATAAAATGTCTTATTGTGACCCACTTTAACTTGTTTCCAAATAGTGGGACAATCACAAATATTAAAATTATATAAAATAAAATAAAAAAATTTTGTACTTTAAAATAATAATTTTATCAAAATCGACTTTAATTAGGAATTACACCAGAATATTAACGACTTGGGTCCGGTTAGATTGTGATATTTTTATACCTAATTTAATTGTTGGTAAATTTTTCAACTATAACAACTCTTGAGGAATAATGCTAAGGCGATGACATGAAGGAAGACGATTCAGTCTATTCGATTTTTGTTTCGTCTTCACCCTCCTGCCTTAGGCAGGGTCGATCCCGCCACTAAGATAATCAAGCCAGAGGTCGCACAACAACTTTCCATGGAGCCTCCTGTGAATCATTAGGTCCGCTCAGTTGGACTCAATTGCAAAGAATTTAGTGAATAGGAAAGTGAGGACTTTCGCTAGCTAATGTCTTTCGAGGAGTATCGGGAATACCCTTGAACCCGCTTGCTTATTCTAGTTACCAAACACGCCCCAAGAAAGAAATGGTTTTTTAAATTAAGAAAAGGCCACCAGATTGGGAATTTACTCCAAGGGGTAAACTGGTAATTTCACATATAATTTAATATAAAAAAAAATCCCATCTTGTTGGTTTTGTTCGTACAAATGAATTTGGGCTTCATTTATTTATATATATGTATATACCTAATTGTCCTTTCTTCTTCTTCTCCCATTCACAAAAATTCTAAGAGTTCAAAATTTTTGTAGTAATTTGTTGAATGGGTAACAGTTTAAGGTGTTGTTTGGCTTGTGTTCTTCCTTGTGGAGCTCTTGATTTGATACGAATCGTTCATTTGAACGGCCACGTCGAAGAAATTGCCCATCCCATCACCGCCGGCGAGGTCCTAAAAGCGAACCCAAATCATGTTCTTACTAAGCCTTCTTCACAAGGGGTTGTTCGTCGGATTCTGATTCTCTCGCCGGAATCTGAGCTCAAAAGGGGCACTATTTATTTCGTGATTCCGGTGACTTCTCTACCGGAGAAGAAAAGAAACGCCGGAAGCAGCCTCAAAACTCCGTCTTCAGAGGTCAAAACTGTACCGCCACCGCAGACAGTGATTCTTACCTCTCCGATGTTGTATCCGACAAGAAACCGTCGCGGCGGGACCGCCGCGGTGCCCGGGTGGTCGTATGGCGGCCCCGTTTAGAGAGCATTTCTGAAGACTAAAATAATATACTTTACATGTAAAAGTTTTGTTTTTTGCCGGCGCCGGGATCCGATTTTTCGGCCGAGATGATAAAAGGAATCGGAGCTGTAATTTCGGGTTCTTTTTCTTTTTTTACCGGTGGTAAGTCAGCTGTTTATCATCCAATTTTTGTTCCGAGCTGTGAAATCTGAGAAGGAAAAAAAAACTCGGAATTTTTCCATTCGTTTTGAAGAGGTAAAAAAAAAAAATTACTGTTGTAAAATGAATATATGGTTTTTTTTTTGTCAATTGACATAAAATATTTAACATTTGCAATTATAAAATAAGAAGGTCGGATCAATTGTTAAATTACTCAATTTTATCTAATAATATAAATTATTAATTTTCTTTTATTCACGAGTCTTTATAAATTCACTATTTTTAGTTTATTTTTGCATTTTAAATATTTTAATTTTAAAATTTAAGATTTAAGTTATTAACCTAATGAGGAACAAAAGCAGCAAAGTGTTAAGTTATTTACTATATATTTTAATTTTAAAAAAATTAAAATATTCTGACATGGATAATATATACATAATATATGCATATTATAAATTAATAACTTGGTCTTCTCAATTTCACATGATCTTCTCAAACTCTCACTTCCACAAATTATAATAATGTAAATGTTTATTATTTAATTAATTTTTTCTTTGGGACTACAAACCCTTATTTGATTTTATATATATATATATATATATATATATATATATTTTTTTTTTTTTTTTTTTTTTTTTTTTTTTTTTTTTTTTTTTTTTTTTTTTTTTTTTTTTTTTTTTTTTTTTTTTTTTTTTTTTTTTTTTTTTTTTTATTGTAAGAATTTGTTTCTCAAGTTAATATATAAATTTCATTTTTAACACCAAGGAAAATGGTGCTATCATTTTTGTTTCAAAAGCCTTTAGCCATTGAAAAGTCTATTAATGGAAATAATCGTGGGAGGACAAATAATCGTGATATTGTCCTCCCTTCCTATTTAAGTTTTAAGAAGCATGTATTAGAGAGAAGTTTCTGCACTTTTATAAAGAATATTCCTTTCTCTTTTTCTAATCGATGTGAGAACTCACAATAACTCTTCTTGAGGACCCAACGTTCTTACACACAGCGTCTCCACGGGTACCAACATGGTAATCTACAATTAACGAACTTATAGTCCAGAATAAGTAAGCTCGCATCGATACCGTAAGAGACTTATATAGGGGAATCCATAGCTAAAAATAAGGTTGGGAGTTGTATAGATGTGCATGTGAGTGTTGCAGAAGTTTAGAGATGAGAAGAGTAGATGATTGAAAAGAGAGCACATGTAATGTTGAGGCATTGCTGAGAAGAAAGAGGATCTGGGTTTACAGATTCAGGCTTCAATTCCCGGAGAATTTGGGAGAGTCTTCCCCATACTCCTCAAGACATGGCCTACGCCTTCCCTTTTTTTACTCTCTACAATTTCAACACTAATTCAACCAACGCCTTCTTTCTCACAGTTTCCAAAGCAACATATTTACAGCTTTATCAAGTTCATATTTTCAAACATATGGTCATCTGCATCAATACACAGGTCGCCCTCTGTTGCGGACCCGTGTTGAGTCGAATCTCTCGCATCTTGCCCTGGGAGAAGGCCTGCCTTGGCATTCGGGGGTGCGTGCTGTAAGCGAGAAATGGGTAGCAGGAGAACCAGCAGCAGCCCTGTGATGAGTAGATCAAGCTGTGATATCTTTAGTCATTGGCTATGCTAAATATCAAGCAAGCTATTTTTTGGATCATGGCTGCTTAATGCCAAGCTACCTGTCTAGAGTGTGTAAGTTTTGAAATCATTGCCATGGATTATGTTGAGTATCCTAAGCTTTTCCCACTGTGCAAGTTCCAATCTTTATCGTCTTGGTCAACCTACTAACAACAAGGTTCATCAGCCTCTTGTCCTAGTACTATTTGGTCAGTCACATGGAATATGTATGAAAACTGGGATTGTAAAGTCAGAAAAGACATGAACATCTTAAAATATATACATAATTCAGTTTGGTGGAAATCAAAGAAGCTTCATGCTAAGAAGTTTGCAACCAAGGATAATATGAACATCCATATGAGAAGAGTGGAATATTCTATGAGTATCCGAACTTAACTTATTCTCAAAGGCAATGTTATTATGTGAGATCCCACATCAGTTGAGGAGGAGAACTAAATATTTTTTACAAGGGTGTAGAAGCCTCTACCTAGCAAACGCGTTTTAAAAATCTTGAGCAAAAGTCCGAAGAGGACAATATTTGCTAGTGGTGAGTTTGAGCTGTTACAAATGGTATCAGAGCCAAACACTGAACGATGCGCCAATGAGGAGGGTGAACCCCTAAGGGGGGTAGACACCAACCGGTGTGCCCGAAAGGATGTTGGGCCTTGAAGGGGGTGGAATCGGGGGTCCCACATCGATTAGAGAGAGAAATGAGTGTCAACGAGGACATTGGGCCCCGAAAGGGGGTGGATTGTGAGATCCCATATCGGTTGGAGAGGAAAACAAAACATTCTTTATAAGGATGTGAAAACCTCTCCCTAACAGACACGTTTTAAAAACCTTGAGGGAAAGCCCAAACAGAAAAATCTAAAGAGAACAATATCGACTAACCATGGGCTTGAGTTTTCACACAATGACATAAAATGAACAAGCTAAAGCAGAAGAAGATGAGTACCTGGAATGCTTTGTCCCTCCAGTACAATACGCATCCACGGGTTTCCAGGTACTTACGAAAAGACGGGGGAAGCAAGGATTTGAATGACAAGTGCAGCTTCACCTTTCTTAGACCCCCACATACCAGCAGGGCGGCAGTGAGACCATCTGGAGTCAAGCCAGCCAAATGCAAGATGGTCATGTTTCTCAGGCAATTAATGCTAGCTAGAGACAATAGCCCAACATCTGTAACCGAACAGTATGATAAGTTTATCTGCAACCAAAAGAGGAAAATCTTTAGCAGGACAGGTTATACCAAACTCATTTTCAGGGCAATAGAGAATAAAGGATCATGCCTAAGTTTATCTGCAACCAAAAGAGGAAAATCTTTAGCAGGACAGGTTATACCAAACTCATTTTCAGGGCAATAGAGAATAAAGGATCATGCCTGCTTCAGATTGTGAGAGAATTGGGCAAGTGGAAGCATCCCATCATCATTTACATTGACACATTTCTTTATATCTAGCACAGTAAGCTGCTTACATCCCATTGCTATGGCTGCGAGGCCGATGGGTGAAATGCGACAACACCCTCGAATTTCAAGTGCTTTTAACCTCAAACATTTTGACAAGGATATTAACGAAGAATCTGTAATTTTATTGTTATAAGCAATGTTAATCATCTCAAGAGCAGGACAGCCCCCAGCGGTTGCTGCAATGCCTCTGTCAGTTATTCCAGTCGACCTAAGAAAACAAAATGGAAAAAAAGAGAAAATTTACTAAATTACTACAGGAAAATCATGTACCCAACTCTATATTTGAGCTCTTATAAGTATAACGTTTAGGAACTTGTATTTTTCTTTTCGGTTATGATTAAGTCTGTAGTTATAGAATTTGATGAGTAATTCTTGATAGTATAAGTTAAGAAGTAATCTAGAAATGTGCTATCTAGATTTGATGTTTCTACGTTTCAAGAAACCAAAAAAGATACATAATCTTGAATGTGCAAGACCAAAAACGGATATATGCTCCTTCCTTAACGGCTACTATTGTAGGAAGCTTACGAAGCTTCTAACTCAAATAGACAGACAGCATATGTAACAACTTAAGTCCACCGCTAGCAGGTATTGTTTGCTTTTACCCGTTACGTATTGCCATCAACCTTACGGTTTTAAAACGAGTCTATTAGGGAGAGGTTTCCACACCCTTATAAGGTATGCTTCGTTCTACTCTCCAATCGATGTGGGATCTCACAATCCACTTCCTTTCGGGGCCCAATGTTCTCGCTAGCACACCGCTAGCAGATATTGTCCGTTTTAGCCCGTTATGTATCGCCGTCAGCCTCATGGTTTTAAAACCCATCTGTTAGGGAGAGGTTTTCTCACTGTTATAAAGAATGCTTCATTACCCTCCCCAATCAATGTGGGACCTCACACAAATGGACAAATATCATACCTGTATAAATCAAGCTCTTTGATTTTTGGACAGCCATTTGCAATGTGGGATAGACCATCATCGTTTATATTCAAGCAAATTCCCAGCTTCAGAACACTAAGCCTTGAACATTTGGAGACAGACTTCAAGCCTAAACAAAAGAAGCAACATTAATGTTAAAAACTTAAAAGAATCATGGAATATGTAATGTAAAACAGGAGCTAAAAGCCCTGTACAACCTTCATTGTCGATCTCGTTGTCAGTAACGTCAAGTTCCTCCAAGTATGGACAGTGTTTTCCTATCAATACATAAGCCTCTCTAGGAACTAGGCTACAAGATTCCATCTTAAGCGAAACGAGGGAAGAACATGAACTTGTAATGCTGTTAATGGATGCATAAGTTATCTTGCGGCAGCAAGTGATGTCTAATTTCCTCAACTGATCGTGTTTTTGCACAAGGGTGGAGACACACTCATCAGTCACCCCTGCACACTTGCTTAAGCTAAGCTCCTTAAGTGATGCACGCCAATTAGCAATGGCTCTTAACCCAGAAGTCGTAAGTGAACAACAATCCAATTTTAATGATTGCAAACCAGAAAAATTATGCAGACATTTTGCCATATCCGTTGTGATCTAAGGCAAGAACATAATCAGATAAGCACAATAATCTCAAATTATCACCAAAATACAACTACATTCACTTACTGAAGAGCCATATGATAAGATGAGCTGTTGAAGATCTTCAGAACCATTAATCAAAGAAGACAAACCAGAATGACCGATACTTTGACAGCGAGTCAGATTAAGCAACTGCCAACAAAGTTGCACGTATATCAATAGTAATTACATTGAAGCTGCAAAAAAAATGTTTTCCCAACAAAGGAAACGGCCAAATTAAGGAATGTACCTTCAATGAGTTTCTCTTGCAGTAACGCTCTAAGGCTGCAAGGCCTTCATCATCAATTCCATGGCATTCCTCAAGAACTAGCTCTTCAAGATGTTGCAGTTGAAGAATTGGCTGAAGACATTTCTCAGTAATCTGTAACAAAAATCTTCATTAGCTTTGAAAGAGAAGGTGGCGGGGGCGGCGGGGGGAGGGGGTGTTGAAGGAGGGGGAAATACCGGCAAGAAAGATAGGTCTAAACTCCTTAGCTCCTTGCACTTCGTTGCAATCAAACCAACACCCATATCAGTAATATGCACGCACCATTTCAGACACAAGACTTTCAGCTTTCTACATCCAACAGCAACACAACCAATCCCCATATCCGTAATCGACCTACACCTCGCCAACCACAATTTCTCCAAGTTTTTGGCCTCCGCTATGACCTTCAACGCCGAATCCGTCAGTGCAACCCCATTCGACAAGTTAATCTCAACCAATCCAGCACAATTCGTAACCAAATTCGACAATCCCGCATTCGAAAACGACCTAGACCGGGACAGATCGATGGAAAACAACGTCATTTTCCAAGCACACGATATCGCATTCAAAAACGAATCCTCGACATGAAGGCAAAGGGATAGGTCAAGTTTCGAAATGGATGGGTATCGACGAGCGATACTTCGAATCAGGTCGGAGCGCAGTGGTCTTAGAGATTTCCGGTGTTGTGATTCGGTGGAGTAGAAGGATTTGCAGACGAGAGAGAAGGATTTACGAGAAAAAGGATCGTCGTGAAGATGGTCGAGAATCACGAAGATGATCTCCTCTGTGAGATGATCAAAGGGTCTGGAGAATGCGTCGTCCATGTCAATGGTCTTGAGCTTCTTCTTCAATGGAGATGGACCAGAATCGAATTTGGAGAACATGGTGAAATGGCTAGATCAAAGAACAGAGGAGGAGAAAACGAGGAATCTATGGGTGGAAAAAGGAAGTAGAAGCTGTAAAACAGGGTTGGTTGGTTCAGAGACTCCACCAAGATTCTTGCCGAGAAGTCATCCGCTTGAAGAAACAGAGGTACGGAAAATTACATCCAACGCCTTCCCCGTCCATATTTATTACAAATATTCTCATTTTTCATAATTAATTATGGATTAATACCAAAATAAATTCTAATATTCTAGCCCATATAGATTATAAATTTTTGAGACCAATATTGGTACCATAGAATTCTATGGTTGGTTGGTGACCTCTAAACGTTAAAGGTGTTTTTGAGGTGATCTCTTAGTTCATGCTTCAATCGCGTCGGAAATATTTACTTTTTATAAAATCTTTTATACCCGTGTCAAATCTGAAACTTAGCTGAATATTTTTAACAAAGGAATTAAATTAAATGGATAGGAATTATAATATTTATTTAAATTTGGGGTTTAATAGGATTAAATTAATTTTTTAATAAAAAAATTAATATAAGATAGGAAAATAATACATAAAAATAAATTAACCAAATTTAGCTTAAAATTATTCCAAAAAAAAAAAACAAAAAAAGGAAAATGATGGAGGTGATATTTGGTGGAATGGCGATTGGGGAAGGCAAAGAACGAATGAGTGCACGTGGTACGGCATCAGAATGGGGGCCCACCATACCCGCTCAAAAACGTACTTCGTTTCTTGTCTTTCGTACTCTCTCATTTCAGAGCGTGTATCCACCGCCTATTCTTTAATCGACAAGTGTCTTTCTTTTCTGTCGTCAGATTTTTAATATAGCGCACCACGTGGCAACTTCTAAATAAACGGGCCTTTTATATATACTCGACATTGGGCTCAGGCCCACTCTTGAATTCCTCTTTCTCCGTTTCTGACCCCTAAAACTGGGCCTATTTCCTTCTGGAGGCCCAATAGGACCCAATTTTGTATAATCAATCTTGTAATTTATAATTTAAAATATAAATTATTATTTTTAATATAATCTTATTTTTCGAGAGAAAATTCCATCTATTAATATATTATTTTTATGTTTTAAAACAATTTTATTTTTGTTCATTACATATTATATAATATTGCAAAATAATAATTATAAAAAATTAAAATTAAAGCATATGCTAAATGTGAGGACTTATAGTGAGAATATTAAAGAATATTATGTCAACTTAATAGAATTATTCCCATTTCACCTACCGATCTTATCACCATTAATTAAAAATTGAAATTTGTTTTAAATGAAAATATATTTGATTTAATAATTATAGAATTGTATGAAAATGATCTTTAACATAAAAATAACGACGGAAGGGCGTCCCTCTCTCTCTCTTTTTCCACAACAAATTTGAAAACTATTGATAAGAGAAAACTAATATTATGTTAATCTCTTTACATTTGAAAATATCTTATGCATCAACGATTTTCAAACAAATTTTAATATTTTCTACAACATTTTAGAAGGGCACAATAATTATTTAATTTCATATAATACAAACAAACATCAACGAAGGTTATACACAAACTTGAACACTCTTCGACACTCGAATCTCAAACAACGTTAATCCAATTCCAAATCCAAATTCAAATCGAAAGCGAAAACCAAACCGAAACATTTTAGTTGACAAACCGACAATTTTGTCTGATTTCTCCATAACTTCCTGTAAGTGGCTTTATATTGCCCATTTTGATCATGGAAGAACCAAAGTCATCTCTAAAGGAGTATGGATAACTGCTATAGTACGACACCAATTCATCACTCTTCTGGCTCCCGCCGCCGAACAGTTCCTGGTCGGAATGGAGAAGACCCTTCTTATTCAACAAAGCTTTGAAGTAGGCATTGTCAAAGAAATTGGAAGACTTGTCAAGACCCATCAGATTGTTATCCTTGCCGCTTGGTGGGCAAATTGCCTTCAGCGACGCTGCGAATTTCCGGTCGATATTGGTGTCGTTGTATATCCTTGTTCGGAAGGTGGCGCACCGAGCTTTGCCGAGGGTGTGGCCGGCCGATAAGAGGATGAGGTCCTTGAGGTCGAGGCCTTGAGATTGGAAGCTGGATAGAAGCTGTGAGAAACTGAAAAATGGCGGAGGGAGGCTTCTGTTGGCATCGTCTACGCTTGCTGTTCTTGCATCTCTTCTTCCTAATAGTACTTTGTAGTTTGGCCCACCAAGCTGTTCAAAACATAGTTCAACATTTTGGATCGTTAATAATATTTTTTGGATTTTTGAGCGATTCAGTAGTTTTATACTTACAATAGCAACCGAATCACGAGCAGCAACAGCTAAGATATCAGCACAAGACACAACATTGCCTTTACAAGCCTTGTTGACTTTTTGTTTAATCTGGTCGACGACTTCAAATCCTCTGATCGAGTTTATATTAGGAAAGGCAGTCTTTTCTCCAACGAAGTTACCAATATCGTCCAATAAGACCGACCCATCGCAACCCTAATCATAAAAAAAAATTACAACTCTCAATCGATGGCATGATATGAGTTGAACAAAACGAACAATCAGAACGACAAGAAAGAAGATGAACTTACGTTGACGAAGCAATCGTGGAAATGGAGACGTAAGAGGGAAGCTCCCATACGAGGCTCACGTTTGATGGCGTTCAAGACGACGGATCTAATGGTGGACAAGGCCTTGGGGCAGACTTTGTTGTAAAAGTTGGGAGTCAGCTGTGCATGGCTATGGCTTAGGGCAGCTGATAAAACAAAAACACAGAGAAAAAGAGAGCGAAGGGCCGCCATTAGAGCTATTGCTTGCTTACTTCTTGTAATATGCTACAGTATTTCTTGGGATTCCACAGTGAAGATGAGGAGGAGTGCGTTTGGTTTATATAGGGAAAAATGAGGAAGCTGTCACGGGTAGGGTGACACCATGGTTTGGATATCTCAAAGGTAAGAGAGGAGAGAGAGCTCTTACAGACCAAGTCTCCCATGGCTCTTATGAACAATCCATAAATTATGCTTTGAGAATTTTTTTAAGTCAACTATTGATGGGCAGGAGATTGAACAATCCATTGTTATGAAGTTTAAATTTCTATTCTATATTATATTTAAGTGTTGTTTTACAACCCACATTTTTCTTCTTTTTCTATTTATCAGATTATAATCTCTTCATCGATTAGAGAAGGAAAAGAAGCATTCCTTATAAAAGTGTGAAAACTTCTTCCTAGCAGACATGTTTTAAAACCGTGAGGTTGACGACAATACGTAACAAACCAGAACGAATAATATCTACTAGCGGTGGGCTTGAATTGTTACAAATGGTATCAGAGCCAGACATTAGACAGTGTACCAGTGAGGACGATGGCTCCCAAGGAGAGTAAATTGTGAGATTCCACATTGGTTAGAGAAGAGAACACAACATTTTTTATAAGAGAGTGAAAACCTCTTCCTAGCAGACGCGTTTTAAAATCGTGAGACTGATGACAATATATACTGGCTAAAACGAACAATATCTAGTAGCGGTGAATTTGGATTGTTACAATATATTCTTTAGTCCTACCGCCCTAAATTCTTCCACTTGAAGCCTTGAGAATCAAATATCCTTCCAAATATTATCCTCTAACCAATGAGGAATTCTGAAGAATAGTAAGAACATAGAACTTAAAGAATTGGCCCCAAAAGGAGGAAGAGGAAGAAAGTGTTGTTTAAGAGAGGGTCAATGCCTTACAAAGAGACACAAAACCCACGGTTGGTTTTGACCAAATTTAAATTAAAACAGTTGCCAATTGATCAACTTGTGAAACACTTATCCCTTCCTAGCTAAGTCAACTGTTCCTGATGACAGAGGGGGTAATTGGGTTGGTCTTTGACAAACGTGTGTTAAAGCTTTGGCTTTGCTTCACCTACCTACTACATTTGTCCCATTCTACCACCACACTTTTTTCAATCATTTTGGAGATTTACAGGTAAGGTTATTAAGTGTTGTACTGAAATGTTCCGATAGAAAGAAAGAGAGTGGAACTATTTCATTTGCTATTATAATCCAACTGCAAGGAATCAGTGAATCACTCACTACGTGAAATTAGGAAAATTTTCCTTCCTAATATAACCGAGTATTTTTAATACATCCATACAATCATTGCCTCTGAACTTTTAACTGGTCTTCTTTTCCTTCTTTTTTTTTTTTAACCGAGTTTTTAAATTCTCTATGAAGGAATTTTCTAAACTATAAATTAAGAGGGCGTGATGTATTGGGATGATATATTCTGAACAAATCAATAATATATATTTGACTATCATGCAACTTACGAATAAAATATTTCGCGAGATTAAATATAAATTGTTGTTAGCTGTTAAAAGATTGCGACTTCCACACTTGGGAATAAAAAGTTTGTTTAATATTTGAAAAAAATACAAGTGTTATATTAAAAAAAGGTAGTAGTAATAACAATATTATCGAAATGATTAGGATAATTTATTCGGTATTGTCTTTTTGAACAAGTAATAGCCACTGTAATCTTTTATTTAAAATATTTTGGGAAACAAACACGTATTTGGAAGTTATAGTAAAAAAATAATGCTTCTATTATTTAAAAAAAAAAAAAATCAAAATGCTTTCTGAACAAAAGAACAAAAACAATTCATAAAAATAAATTATATTTTGAAACGACTTTTTATATTTTAAAAGACCAAGAAAAAAGAAGGCTTAAAGAAATGGTTTTTAAACAAAGTTAGCTTAAGTGTATTACTTAGTTTTAGAATCTTTAAATAAATTAGATTCATGGGCAATCAGAATAAGATGCATCATTCAATAGCAATGAAGGTTAATGTGTACCTCAGAGTGAGTATTCTCCAAATTCAATCTTCCGTGCTGTTGAGGTCCCAGATAAATCCAGAATTAACGTAGAAAGCATTCCCATCAGAATCATCAGCGGGTTCGGCTCAATCCTGGGCCTCTTTCTTGTGATGTAAAACAAAATCAGACTCCTCCAGAACGCCAGGAGATGAGATAATGGCCGAAATTTGTCAACAGCCACCTGTTACACAAAAAAAAAAAAAAAATGCAACCGCATCATTGTCATGGTTTGGGAGGGAAAACTTAAAAAATGTGAACCCACCTAATACGACAATATACCTGATAATTATGAAGGTGAATATTAATGGAAATAGTATAATATGGATACCAACAATTGGAAGGTTGCAGAAATGATTATTATATGGCATCAGCTAATAATTGTACAGAGAAGGTTGCAGTTTACATAAGCAATAAATTGACAAAATGATGACATGCACTGTGTTAAGGAGGAATAAATAAGGTGTTAGAAAACGTAATGATATGAAATTGTCCACTTTCACTATTTGATTTCTCAAAATTTCTTATATACCAATGGAGATAGGATTCCCTACTTATAAATTCATGATCAACTCTTTAATTAGTCGATGTGGGACTTCTTTCCCAACAATCCTCAACAATCCTTTCCTCGAATGAAGTACACCCTCTCTCCTGTGGTTTTATGGAGCCCTCGAACAACCTCCCTTTAACCGAGACTTGACTCTTTCTCTAGAGCCCTCGAACAAAGTACACCTTTTGTTCGACATTTGAGTCAACTTTTGACTACACCTTCGAGATCCAACTTAAACTTCTTCATTCGAAATTTAAGGATTCTACTGACGTAACTAAGTTAATGGCATGACTTTGATACCATGTTACAAACCACGTCTCTCCACAATGTTATGAAATTGTTCACTTTGAGCATAAATACTCGTAGATTTACTTTTGGTTTCTCCAAGGAACTACTCTCCCAACAATCCTCACCATCATTGAAATTAAAAGTTTCTAATAAATTATCTTATTCAGTTAATGAGGTAGAAGATATGTGACGGAGGTGTTCTAAATTTCTATAAGAGTTTCCATCTGGATATGCTGCACCCTTGATATCCTTACACCGCAAGAACTTATCAACCAATGTTAAGGGTGCACAGATTCAGCGAACTTAAAGCAGAGGATGAAGATCTATGTTTTTCTCGACTCTGCAGAATACGCTCTAAGAAGCAAGGACGACTGACTCTTTAACTACGAGAATTTCAGTCTTGTTAAAACCACAATTCTTTAGAGAGGATGTATTTCGTTGAAGGACTCTACCTTAACAAAAGGATATATTTTTTTTCTCAGAAGACACAACTCTATACCAAGAGATGGGAGTATTTGAATGACCACAAATAGTCTATAACTATGTGATTTTCTTATTTGTTTGATACACACAAAAAAACACTTCTTTTTTTCAGACAATTACTCGCATATTGTAGTGTTCGTTGAGTTTAGTGGTTGATGTGCTCATTCACAGATTGATATTCTGTTCTATCCTGGGAGGCAATTGTTTAGACACCTTGAGTCTTAAAGAAACAGTGTGAGTTCATTGGGTTTAGTTTAAACTAAGAACTTTTGAGTGATTCAAGCATTAAAACTAATCACACGGTCTTAGGTTCATGTCGATCCAAAATACAAAGGCTAAAGTCAAGTAACAATTTGCACGACCAAAATTGTCTAAAATTCTATGATAAGATTGAGATTCTTTATATATATCCCACAAAACAATAAGAGAGTATTCCTATTTATAAAAAACTAAGAGATTGTTTCTTTCCCTGTGCACAATACATATTCATGTTACCCTCAAAGAATAAGACAACATCAAGGCTCCATGAATCAAGAGAAATGTCTATTCAATGATCACAAAGATGGAAGTTAAGATTTAGTTTTATAAGCAACTTATGAAGTCTTTTTCTCTTGTATACTTGATGTGTTCATAATCTGTACGAGTATGAAAAGTATCTCTTCATGGAAAACAATCCATCAAACCACAAAAGAAAATTTTCAAAACCTAAATGGTAGTTGGGGAGATGTTTTTAAAAATAGTTTTTTTCTTCCGTATTCAAATCTGTTTCCAAGAGTTGTGCTAGATAACTGGCAAGGTCAAGTAACAAGTTTCTTTTATATATCCATGAGTGTCGAGATCAGTATATGTGCATCTTGACTATTCTCCCGGGAAATTACTTGGTCCTACTACTACATTTGCCTACGAAGGAAACTTGTAGGATACTAAATTCTGCGTAGGTGGTCACTATGACTTAAACTCATTCCCTCTAAGCCATTTTTATACCTAGCTCATAATTTTAAAAGGAATAATAGCTTGAGTTATCTTAAGAAGCAGTTTAGCAAAACACAGATGCAAAATGGCCCTGACCTAAGTTTCAGGAACTGCACTTCTATTCATATTTTTATTGATACAAATAGTACCGGGGGGTGGTTTTATAGATACTGCTTAGCCACTGAGTTTCAATAACTAACCACTGGTATGAATCTAACAGAAAACGCTTTAACCAAAACTAAGAATACAAATAACAAAACAGCTCAAACAATCACCAAATATATACGCAACAACTCGATGCCACAAGCTCTTCATAGGAACATTAGACCGAAATTAGAGGAAAATGTTTTAGACTCAAATGTGGTTACCAGGTAGTATCATAACCATTATTGACAGCCGCAACGTAGTCCTTGAAGCTCGAATACCATCTCAACATCATTTAATTCACTTAAGAAGTTTTACGACTTCTGGAAGACTAAAGTTGTGGACGTCAATAACAATGCTAAACTTTCCAATCAGTAATCAGACTAAGCAGGCTTTGATTCGCAACAATGCAGTGTCAACATATGCATACATACAGCTAAAATGTAGGTTTCCATGAAATTATAACTTAGTAGTTGCTTTCGTAGGAATGAGAGCTAACCTTGACCTCGGCGTTCAGAGCGTGAGTGGCGACGAGGCATTGATCGATCTGCTTTGTAAATCGAGCAATCGTAATCGCTAATGCCCTAATTTCGAGTTCAATCAACTTCTAATTTACAAACGATTCTTGAACTCCACTATTCACAGCATCGACTAAAAGATCCGAAACACACACCGCTTTCTGAGTAGCATCTTTCTTCGCCTTCTCTACCGCGATGATTCAAAACAAGGAGATTACGATTTAATATCACGAAACTTTAAAATAATCCGCATCTAAAGACTATGAAGCCGTAAGAGAGAGTGAAGAAATTATAGGAAACAGAGAGAGAGAGAGAGGAGACAGTAACTAACCGGAGTTTTCCCGAACCTTGAGAGAGGCGTACTAGTGATCATTGACTATTCGAAGCAATGAAGCTTCCAATCCTCCAACCTCGGCGCTCAATCTATCCATCTCCGATCCAAATTTCCCGCGATTAGGCGCTACAGGGAGTTGCGGCCAAGATGAACCTGACGGAGAATTCATGTCTGGCGCGAAATATTTTGGTTCACATTTCTCACACTCTTAAAATATTTAAATAATTCTAAAATTTATAAATATATATATTTATTGGGTATTTTTTTAAAGATATATAATTAATTTTTCAATATTGTCAAATTAAATAATGTTGGAATTTCCAAGGTGGCTGGCTTACAAATAATCATCAGATACTTCACTGACAAAAAACGAACTTTTCAAAATAGTCCAATTAGCGAAAAATAAAAATAATAATAATAATAATAATAAACCTTCAAATTTGACTATTTTTTTCCTTCAAAAATTAATTTTTAATAAATAAGCCAAATTTTATATTTTAATTATTTTTGTAAATAAATATTTAAAATATTCCAACCAAATTTTACTTGGTCTCCTTTCAAGTTTCCATAAATACCCCTCTCTTCTTCAAGCTTCAATCATCCTATCTTCATTGCTTTTCCAATAATCTCTCCTTTTTACTTCAAATCCATGGCGATTGCATCCCTTTCTCGTCCCAACAAAATGGTTGTGGCTTTAGCATTAGCCTTATTCGTCGTGTTTATGGGGAACTCCTCGGCTCATCTCTCTCCCGATTTCTACTACAAGAGCTGCCCCAAGCTCCTTAGCACTGTCCGAGCTGGTGTTCTGTCTGCCGTGGCTAAGGAACCTCGCATGGGCGCTTCCCTTCTCCGCCTCCACTTTCATGACTGCTTCGTTAACGTATAAAATCTCTTCTTCTTCTTTTGTATTTACCGTACTCTTATATTAGTAACGCTCTCTTTTTTAATTATATTATGTGCAATTGATCCTCGTTTATTAGGGTTGCGATGGATCGATTCTTCTGGAAGATACTCCTACGTTCACGGGAGAGCAAACTGCAGCTCCCAATAATAGATCCGTTAGAGGGTTCAATGTAATTGAGAGTATAAAGAAAAATGTTGAAAAAGTTTGTCCTGGTGTTGTCTCTTGTGCTGATATTTTGACTCTTTCTGCTCGTGACTCTGTCGTGGCTGTGAGTTGTTTTTTTTAATTATATCAATTTTCTAAACCTCGTACCTTAAAAAGTATTTGTTTAGTTTAACTCGATGATGTTGACTTTTTGCTCGACTAATTAATTATTTCAGCTGGGAGGACCAAGTTGGAAGGTTAAATTAGGGAGAAGAGATTCCAAAACAGCCAGCTTCTCTGATGTCGTTGGTGCCATTCCTCCTCCAACTTCCACCCTCAACACCCTCATCAACCGATTCAACACTAAGGGTCTCTCCCCTCGAGACTTGGTTGCCTTATCTGGTATAGAAGTTTGAACCTATGATCTTTTATTCTAATATCATGTTAAATCACTAATCGAATTATGATAAATGTAATTATATCAATACTTAATTGATGCATGCAGGGGCCCACACCATTGGACAAGCTCGGTGTTTGTTTTTCAAGAATCGTATATACAACGAGACCAACATCGACGAGTCATTTGCTAAAGAGAGGCAAAGAAACTGCCCAAGAAATGGAGGAGACGACAATCGTGCCCCTTTGGACTTTAGAACCCCAAAGCTTTTCGATAACTACTACTACAAGAACCTTTTGGAGAAGAAGGCTTTGCTCCGCTCCGATCAAGTGCTCCACGACGGTGGATCCACTGATTCCTTGGTTGAACTCTATGGTGATGACAGTGATGCCTTTGAGTCTGACTTCGTGACGGCTATGATCAAGATGGGCGACATTCAGCCACTCACTGGATCGCAAGGCCAGATCCGAAAGGTCTGCAGCCGACCCAATTGATGAATTTGAATTTGGTGATTGAGATAATAATTATTTTTCCTTTTGTTTTAAATTCGTTTGAGAAAATAATAAGCTAAGGGTGGATTTGTTGTATTTTTAAAAAAATAAATTTATGATTTTATTGTAATAACTTTGTAATAAAAAAATATGTATTTCGATCAAACGGTCAAAATTATAAATTGAAAAAAAAAAAAAACTTGCAATTAATTTGAATATAGAAAGTATATAAATATAAAAAAAACTAAATTATTAACAAATTTCCCTTATCCAACTCTTTCTTTGTATAAATAAAGGCTCCAACATTTAGTTGAGGATTGCAAGAAATGGGAGAAGATTGTAATTAAGTATTATGTTATAAATAATCATAATTAATAATTAAATTTATATTTATAAGTTAATCATAATATCACAACAAGTAATTTAATTTGTTTTCGAAGAAATGGTTAATTAGTTTTATTTATTTTAAAAATGGTTAAATTTATTTAATATCATCGATATTTTTATTTATTCTCATCCATTAAAGAAACTATAATTCTTTGGAATATAATTTATATATATATATATATATATATATATATATATATATATATATATATATATATATATATATTTATTTATTTATTATTATTATTATTTTTTTTTTTTAATATAGAATCAACCCAAAAGAAAGTATGGAACGAATTACATTGATGATCAAGATCAAGAGTAAAGAAAACTCGTGGCTTGAATAACTCTACAAGAAGTTTGATTAATACTCGCAAGTTCTAAACACAAGAATTTACAAAAAAAAAAAAAAAAAAAAAAAAAAAAAAAAAAAAAAAAAAAAAAAAAAAAAAAAAAAAAACTTAGCTCTTTTAATTCTAAAATTTGATGTGTTTCAAAAAAAAAAAGTGAGGCTTTATATAGCCTTTACAACTTTAACCTTAACCTGACATATAGCTCTCAAATTAAATTGGCTAGTAAATGAGAAATACTCATACACTCTATATTAAAATGACAGTTAACGGTGGAATATAGTAACATAGTTGGCTCCCAAACTAAATTGATTAGTAAATGAGAAATACTCATATAAACTCCATATTAAAGTGGCTGGTTAACGGTGGAATATAGTAACATAGTTGGCTCCCAAATTAAATTTGCTAGTAAATAAGAAATACTCATAAACTCCATATTAAAATGGCTAGTTAACGGTGGAATATAGTAACATAGTTGGTTACATAACATTTAACTCCTTTGTTAAAAACTAGCTTATGACAAACAAATATTTAAATTATAATTAAATAGTATCGGGAATGAAATGTGGACTAGTTCCATGAATTTAGTTGAGTTTATTAAATACAACTTAGAGCATTTAATGCATATCTTTCTTGAGGCTCAACTTTGCACAACATATAAAACAGGTCTCCAACGTCTTCTAGAATTTCGTTTGATCAGCTTACCATAGCTTAAATATAAGTGTACAAGGTTTGTTGTAGTTTTTTAGCTCTCGTCCTTATAATTGGACCTTGAGATATGAAAATTTCTTAGTCGTAGTTCGTATCAATATTGAAATTGAATAAATGATTTAAATAATCCGAACAATTTCATCTAAATATTTCATAGTTGAGTTGGGTTAGGTTGATTATTTAATTATGGTTGTTGAGTTAAAAAAAAAATTAATTCGAAACAATTAAATTGAGTCTAAAAAATATTTCAACTCAATCCAACTCAATTTCGTCAATAAAAAAAAAAATAGTCTCATTTCGTCCATAATAACAATGGAATTGTATAAAAATACCTACGGGTGACAATTGTAAGTGTGACCGACCAATGAAAACCTTGAGTTGGTGGAGAGGGAATAGTCTCTATATTTGATTATTCTAATTTTAAACTATTTAACTACTTAATCATTAATATGTTCCTAACTTTGACTTTTTCTCTACCTTCTCATTTTTATTACTTAAAAATATATATTCTTTTTTTGACTTGGCTTGCTTGTAATGGATAATAAATGTGCTAAATTTATATAATTTATTCCTTTCAAATTTCTTTTTCAATTAATTATTCAAAAAGTTTCGATTTTACTTCTTTTACGTTATCTTTTATAATATATTATTAAAATAACGTAAATTTTAATTTAAAGAAATAGACATGCTTGTCGTTTATAATCTAATTTTAATTATATTAAATTAACTATGTCCTAAAATTATTTTTATTTCTATTAGAAATTATTAATATCAAACCTAAAATACTAACTAATATCAATGTATGTATATTATTTAATGAACTGAAATCGATACGATAAAATTTTGAGCTCGGGATTTCTTATTTTTATTTTAAATTAAATTACCCTTTAAATTCAAAAGTTTAGAATTAATTATTTTTAAAAAGACATTATTTACACTTATACAATACCAAGTCCACTACACATTTTCAACCAGACTGGTCAATTAGAAAAGGTTCTAATTTTCCTTAGAAGTTTGCGTGACCTTTATCCAAAAGAAATTAATATAGAAAAATACGTCTAGATAGATAAAAGGGGAATAAAGAGCCACAAAGAGCCTTGGCTTAGTTGGCTTTCTCTACTTCGTATGAAGCTTCATGAGGGCAATTTGGTAAATTGCTCTTTAAAAAATTTACCTTTTTAATAGGGTGTTCATATGACTCGAGAACTTGACTAATCTGGACTATTCATCGTAACCCATAAAAGTTGGGTTATATATATATATATTTTTTTTTTCTCTCAGATCAACTTGACTAACCCAAAAACTTTAAGTTACCCCCGTCATTAATTCAACCAACGTGAAATTTCAGGTTGATTCAAAATATCTTTTTAAACTCAACCCGATCGAAAAGGTAATTATTTTGATCATTATTTAAAAATTTCATGCCAAAATTTTGGTTGGATGATACAAGATAATAACGAGAATATAAAAACCAAATTATAACCTTAAAAATAATACTTAAACCTAAAACTTCGTATAAAAAATAATATATGCGTTGAAACACAATATTTTGAGTTAGGCTAAGTTGGGAATTATTGCAGCCTTTGAATTAATTGTTAGGCGAGCTATGCTTTCAAAAAAAAAAATATATCATGATATTATTGAGTAAATTACTGTTGGGTAAAATTTTAAGTGTTTTACAAAATGATATTAAATTGATTATTAATATTTAATTTTGTTTAATATAATTATTTAATAATTATAATGATAAAAATAAGGAGACTAAACAAAATAAAAATTGAATTCAAATTGTATATAAATTTTGGAGGAAAAGTATCCAAGTAGGTAGATTATAGATGTTCCTTATATTAATATTCACCAATAAAATCACCAAATATATTAATTTATTTTATAAGGTTCACTATGTTTTTAGTCAACCATTTTGGCTTCCTTTGATGCCTACAACTAATATGCTTAATTAATCAAATGTAGCTTTGGTTACTTTCCGATCGAGACGTTTTTGAATTAACCAAAAATTTCGAGTTGGTTGGGTTGACTAATCGAATCGTATAGGCTTCAGACCCCATATGACACTCAAGTGAAGGAGGGGTATATGAATGAATCGAAACTACATCCGATCAGAACGACCCTAAGGATAGGAGGTCTGAGAAAAACTTAAATGAAATGAACGTGATTATCTATTACCAACAAAGTGCACCCTCCTTTTCCGTGGCTCAATTATAAGAATTTAATAGTTAAACGTGTTTTACTTAAAGCAATTCTATAGGTGACCTCTGTTGGATGATGAAAGTCCCACATCGGCTAATTTAGGGAATGATCATGGGCTTATAAGTGAGGAATACTAACTCCATTGATATGAGGCCTTTTGGGAAAACCAAAGCAAAGCCATGAGAGCTTATGCTCAAAGTGGACAATATCATACCATTGTGGAAAGTCGTATTCGTCAAACATGGTATCAGAGCCATGCTCTAAACTTAGCCGTGTCAATAGATTGGCAAATCCTTAAATGTCGAACAAAGGACTCCAAAAGAAGTCAAGCCTCCTCGAAGGTACGAAGGCAGTCAAAAATGACTAAGACTCCAAAGGAGTCGAGCCTCGATTAAGGGGAGACGTGCTTTGTTCGAGGGGAGGTGTTAGGTGTTCGGCTAATTTAGGCCTCCTCGAAGGTACGAAGGCAGTCAAAAATGACTAAGACTCCAAAGGAGTCGAGCCTCGATTAAGGGGAGACGTGCTTTGTTCGAGGGGAGGTGTTAGGTGTTCGGCTAATTTAGGGAATGATCATGGACTTATAAGTGAGGAATACTAACTTCATTGGTATGAGAGGTCTTTTGGGAAGACCAAAGCAAAGCCATGAGAGCTTATGCTCAAAGTGGACAATATCATATCATTGTGGAGAGTCGTATTCGTCTAACAACCTCCTAAGAATATTTCTAAGATACATGCGAGTGAGAACAAATTATACTAGAATGACTCGTGTTGAACCGAACAAAAATATTTTAATTTTCAAAATTCAATATAACTCAAATCAAACTATTTAAATTATTAGTTGTTGAGGTTATTGACATTTGAACGGTATTTTTACTCAAAATTAAAATTTTAATATAATGTAATTTAAATAATAATAATAATAATAATAATAATAAATTGGCTGCTCTCTAAAATAAGGTCCCTGCGGGAAAGCTACCCTGCATGCATGGGCATCGTGGTCACTTAGGATTCGTATAAATTAACTTTATTAAAATAAAATAAAATAAAATAAAATAAAATAAAATAAAATAAAAGATTTCCACAATTAAAATATGAATAATTCAAAATAATCCACTCTAAAGTTAGCTTGTGTGGACCCTGCTAATTTTGACTTAATGGATTAATACTTTAATAATTCAAGATAATTACACTCCAACTCCACCCATGTCTATTCCATGTCATCCTTTCATCCCACGTCTATTTTGTATCAATTCATTTTTCAAATAAAAAATATATATCGATATGGAAATTATGGGTATAGTCGTAATTTTTCATATTAAGAAGTTTTCTCCGTCTCCATCTCGTTTTCTATTTTTTCTTCATCCCGACAAAAAATTTCATTTATTTTTGCAGGAAAAATGAGAATTTTCTACTGGAGACGGATTCGATTTTCGGTGAAATTTTTAATATATTATTTCAAAAATATTTTTTTAATATAATTTCTATTAAAATAATTATAAAGCATTAATAAATTTAATAGTATTTTATGAGAAAAAATATAATATAATGTTCTACCTAATTTCTAAAAATTTAAATTTCAATACTACGATATTTTTGAACACTTAAAAAATATTTTATTTATTAAGTGGGCTTGAGCCGTTACAAATGATATCATAACCGGATACCAGACAGCATGTCAACGAGTACGCTAGGTCCCGAAGGAGGTAAATTGTTGAGATCGCAGAACGAAACTAAGCATTTCTTGTAAGGTGCGAAAACCTCTCCCTAAAATAAGTCAAAGCAAACAATATCTGCTAGCTATTAATTCAATGATATACTAAATAATATATCGCGTTTAATATATCATTAAATTATATATTATTTAATCTCGTTACGATCAATAATTCATCAAACAAAGTCTTCGTTTTTTTGGTTTTGTAAATCTATATTCTCTAATTTTGTAGACATGCATCCAATCCATGTGATTATCAGTCATTGTCTTTGAAGATTAGGTAATCAACCAATCGACCAATACCAAAAGTTGGCCCCATCTTTATATTAAATGCTACTTTTCCTCTATTTGTTCGTGTTTGAAGTGTATAAATAGAGCCCTTAATCAAGCCACAATCCATGTCCACCACACTCCTCTTCTTTCCCAACCAAAATGGGTATCACCACTTCTCATACCCCAAAAAATGTAGTGAGTTTTGTCTTAGCTTTGCAGCTGGTCTTCCTTTTGATGGGCAGCTCCTCAGCCCAGCTCTCCACTTCCTTCTACTCCAAGACCTGTCCCAAGCTCCTCCCAATCGTCCGCTCGGGCGTCCAATCCGCCATCGCTAAGGAAACCCGCATGGGCGCTTCCCTTCTCCGTCTCCACTTCCATGACTGCTTTGTTAACGTATGTATTATTAAGTTTATCGTCACTGTCGGCTTAAGTTGTTGTTGTCGTCTTTATAACTTGTGCATTCTTTTGACAGGGATGTGACGGGTCAATTCTTTTAGACGATACTGCCACTTTTAGAGGAGAGCAAACAGCTCCTCCAAATAATAGGTCTGTTCGAGGTTTTGACGTCATAAAAGCTATTAAGAGTAGCGTAGAAAAAGCTTGTCCTAGTGTTGTCTCTTGTGCTGATATTTTGACTCTTACTGCTCGTGATTCCGTCAACATTGTAAGTTGTTGTTAAGTTTAGAGGATTTTCTCCTATAATCAATACTTTATGCTTTAACTGTAAGTAATTATTTTAGTTGGGAGGACCAACTTGGGAGGTGAAACTAGGACGTAGAGATTCGAAAACAGCTAGCTTCTCCGCCGCTAGCAGCGGTGTCATCCCTCCGCCTAGTTCAACCCTTGCTAACCTCATCAATCGATTCAGTGCTAAAGGCCTCTCTACTAAAGACATGGTTGTCTTGTCGGGTACTGTTTCACTGTCACTCGCTCTCCGTCTTTTTAAGGTTCCTATACAGTTAAATTATAAATTTGGTCTCTTGTGGATGTAGGCGCCCACACGATAGGTCTAGCAAGGTGCACTAGCTTCAAGAACCGTATATACAACGAGAGCAACATTGACGCTTCATTTGCAAAGCTAAGACAACGCAGTTGTCCGAGAAGTGGAGGAGATGACAATCTTGCCCCTCTAGATGTTGCAACGCCAAAGCTTTTTGATAACTATTACTACAAGAACCTTGTGAACCAAAAGGGCTTACTCCACTCCGACCAGGTCCTCCACAACGGCGGTTCCACCGATTCCTTGGTAGAACAATACAGTAAAAACGATAAGATTTTCGATGCCGATTTCGTAACTGCAATGATTAAAATGGGAGACATTCAACCGCTCACCGGATCTCAGGGCGAGATCAGGAAGGTCTGCAGCAAACCCAACTAATTACTCTTATGGATTTGAATATTCAACTTGAGGAACTCAATAATGAGTTTTTATCCTCTCTGTTTTTTTTTACCCGTGTGCGTAATTTACTTGAAAGGTAAAAGTATGAAATTTACCAATTACTAATAAAGAATTTGTCGGTGTTATTTTCCTTTTCTGCCTTGTTTATGTTGCTTTTTGGTAACTTTATTTCAAATTATAATTATTTGATAAAGACTTTTCTTTTTGTTGTTAAATTGAGAATAATTTAATAATAATTGATGTATATTTTTTTTAATTAAAAATTAAATATTCAAATTTTATATTCCAGTACTAATATATATATATATTCAAATTTTTCTTATTTTGAAAGCAATAATTATTTTTCTTTTTTGACAATAAGCGGGATTAAGAAATAAATAAGATTATGAGCATATAAGAGAAAGGAACGTGTTTTAATGTTTTTCTTATTAAATATTTATTTTATTTTTTATTTTTTAAAATTACAATTTTTTTTTGGAGGACTTAAAGGTAATTGTAAATAGTAAGTGTAGACATTATTGACAAATTAACGTAATTTAAACCTTATTTGTGTAGTTATGTTTAATCTAATCAAGTTCTTAATCCAATAAACCAAAGTTATGGGCTGGGCTTCTTGGGATTGAGTGGGCCTGATAATTTTTTTTTAGAAAATTTAAAATTTTAAATTGATTGCAACTCAACCGTCTAGATTTTTAGTTAATTTTTTTTTAATTATTTAAAAAGTCATACTTATCTTAATATATGTTACCTTAATAATTAAAATTTTATAAAACTAAAATATCGATCCTTTACCGTTACAATTCATGACATAATTCCACATTCGAGTTGGTTTCTAAAATTTAAAAATAAAAGGTAAAAAAAATAACTAACCAATTAAAATCTAACAAACCTAACCTTTATGATTTAGGTTGGTTAGTTTGAGTCGAACCATATGAACACTTGACCCAATCACAATATATTATTTAATAATTTTGCAAGTTTAGAAAATAGTTAAAATTTTGGTAATAATTTTAATTAATAACTTATAAATTCATAATTTTCAGAGGTAAAGAGAGGAAAATTTATTTTGGTTACTAAACAAAGTTATAATTATTAATTTTTCAAAAAAAATTATAATTATAATTATAATCGCCGCTGCATTTTATTCCATTTCCGGCGCCACCGCCACCGCTTCCACGGTGCCGGTAATTTGAGCCATAAATAACTCACAGAATCCAGAATGCGCACTAAAATGGTGGCTCCCAGTAGGAAACTACGAAGCATTTGCATACCCGTATTGCTCTCTGTAACTCTGCTCGTAATTTCGATCCTCATTTTAGCCTTTACTGCTTTCAAGCCCAAGCGGCCCACCATCGCCGTCGATTCAGTTTCTCTGCTCGATCTGAACATTTCTCTGGACGCCGCCAGGCTGAGCGTCGATCTGAATTTGTTTCTCTTGCTCGATCTCTCCGTTGAGAATCCGAATAAGGTAGCCTTCGAATACTCCTATAGCACCGCCGTCGTGAGTTACAGAGGCGAAGAACTCGGAGAAGTGCCGATTCCGGCCGGTCGGTTGCTGGCCGACAGGACTGAGAAAATGAACCTAACATTAAAGATGATGGCTGACCGGCTCCTCGCTAAGTCGGAGCTATTCTCCGACGCGATGTCTGGTGAAGTCCCGATCAACATTTTCACCCGATTGTCCGGGATTGTGAAGGTGATCGGCGTTTTCAAGATTCATGTTGTAGCCTCGTCGTCTTGTGATCTCACCATCGGCATTGGAAACAGAAGTATTGAAGATCAGAAATGCCATTACTAGACGAAGCTCTGAGGATTTCAGTTATGGCGATTTTTGAGGCTTTGTTTATAGTTCATTTCACGCAGTTCTTCAGAGGTGGAAATTGAAAATTAAACAGAAACGTAGGGGTAAATCTGGAAATGTGAACAATCCATAGCGGTTTAGCAGATGCTTATGGTGGAAATGCGCAGCGCGTGAACGGTCTAATGACGTATTCCTCGAACCGCTTTCCACAGGATTGGCTTAAGGAGGGAGGGTATAATGGTAAACTGGAGAAGAATATAAAGTTTTTTTTTTTTTTTTCTTCATAATAATTAATTATTTTTTAACCGCGAGAAGAATAATACATTAATTTCCACTTAATTACACATTGTAATAATTACAATTAAACTTTTAAATTTATATTTAAAATTTTAATTGATTTATTAATATAAAATTAAAATTTATATCTCATAGTCTCCTATCAATAAATTTAAAAAAAATAAAAATTTGAGGACTAATTTGTCATTTTAAAAATTTAGAGTAAACACATATTTAAAATTTTAATTTAACGAAATATGTTTTAATTAAGAAAAGATTTCCCATTGGTCCTGTGGGCTGTTAAGGTATGGGCCATGAGTATCGAGTCCTGGGCTTTCAGAAATTAAAGTTGAGCCGTCGGATCAAATTATCGCAAAACAGATGTTGCGATCTCACAGGAGTTTCACATGGGAAACACGTGCATCTGTTTGTATATGATCTCAGCCCCAAAGACCGGTTGGTCGAGTCGAGCTATCCTTAATTCTTCCGGTTCTCCGGCCCACCCATTTGCACTACACTGAAAATTTATTTTCAATTTTCGAAATTAAACCAAGCTTCGATCTTAATCCTCTTCATTAATCCTCGATCCCGGGATCCTCTCGTTCCGCGGGCCGACTCTTCGCTTAACCAAGACGGTAATTGATTTACTCGACTGTTTTTGGAAGGTTTTGAAGAATTAGAAAATGTTTGGACTCCCAATTTGCTTATCATTATCGTTTCTCTGCTTCAATTTCTTTGGTTTCAATCTTCTTCAGTTCATTGTTGTGTCAGAATTTTGATGATTCCTTCAGATTCTTTAGGTTATGGAGAGTCTTAATCTCAGGGGGGAAATAAAAATGGACGCAGCAATAGGGAAGCGGTAGACTGTAATATTTGGAGGATTCTCATAGATTACGGATTGAGAATTGATTCTGAATTCTTGTTGGTGTTTTGGATGCGATTCTGATTGTGTATGCGTTTGTGAGATTAGTTTTGAGCATTGTAAGCCTTTTGATATGAATACTTGTAATCTTTTCTGAATTTGGAGTTCATTGATTTGAATGGTTGAACATTTCCCTTTGCAGCCAGGGAGCTCTTGCTGAGCCATCCGGCTTTCGGCAGAAGAGTGGGCTGTGGTGGTTGATCTTCATTAAAGAGAAACTAGTGGTGCTCCAATTCTCTGGTTGGTATTTGTAGGGAATGCCGAATGGTGACTCTTTTGCATGGGAGGGAGACTTGAGATCACATATTCCGAGAAGAACGAAGCATTCCTTTTAAGGGTATGAAACCTCTCCCTTGTAGATGCAAGGAGAACAAAACATTTTTTATAAGCGTGTGGAAATATCTCTTCAGTAGACGTGAGAACGAAGTATTTCTTATAAAGGTGTGGTAACCTCTCCCTAGTAGACGCGATGAGAACGAAATCTTCCTTATAAGGGTGTAGAATCCTCTCCCTAGTAGACGTGATTTGAAACCGTGAGGCCAACGGCGGGTTGTTATTCGAAAACCCCACCTGTTCTCTGCTTTCAAACGCTCAATTTACCTGCAAGTTATCGTGGAGTGCGAACGCCTACTCCATCGGTACTTGATTTATGAGTTCTTCATTGTTGATCCTGTAGATATTAGGGTATTGTTCTGTGCTTTTCTGTTTTAGGATTTGATTTATTGGGATGGAAAATAAGGCTAGGAAGATTGCCAGGCCAAGGAACCTTTGCTAAGGTATATTATGCGCGGAATACAGTAAACAACCAAAGCGTGGCCATTAAGGTGATCGATAAAGGAAAGATTACGAAGGCTACGCTAATTGATCAGATTAAGCGTGAAATATCTATTATGAGACTTGTTAGACATCCTAATATTGTATATCTGTATGAGGTTATGGCTACCAAGACTAAGATTTACTTTGTTTTGGAATATGCAAAAGGTGGTGAGCTCTTTGACAGAGTTGCTAAAGGGAGGCTGAATGAGGATGATGCTTGGAAATACTTTTATCAATTAATCCATGCTATTGATTTTTGTCACAGCAGGGGAGTATATCACCCTGACATAAAGCCTGAGAACTTACTGCTTGATGAAAATGAAAATCTTAAGGTGTCTGATTTTGGTTTAAGGGCTCTAGCCGAGTCCGAGTGTCGAGATGGGTTGCTACACACGATTTGTGGCACACCGGCTTATGTTGCCCCTGAAGTTATAAATAGGAAGGGCTATGATGGTGCAAAAGCTGATATCTGGTCTTGTGGAGTCGTTTTATTTGTCTTATTGGCAGGTTATCTCCCGTTCCACAACTCGAATCGATTTAATGGAGATGTATAGGAAGATTGAGAAAGCAGACTATAAATGTCCTAGTTGGTTCCCTCGTGAAATGCGGAGGCTACTAAGTCGGATGCTTGATCCGGCTACTAAGTCGGATGCTTGATCCAAACCCCATTACGAGGACTTACCATAGCAATGATAAGACAAAGTTCTTGGTTCAAAAAAGGATTGAGATCTATGAATGTAAGAAGGGGAACAAAAGATGATGCTATAGCGGCTGTTTCAGATGGAAATCAAGAGATGGATAGACCTCCAACTTTGAATGCTTTTGACCTTGTCTCCCTTTCGACAGGGTTCGACCTTTCGAGTTTATTTGAAGACGATTCAAGGAAGAAAGAAACGTTGTTTACTTGTAGAAAACCGGCCTCTGTTCTTCTCTCGAAACTAGAAGAAATTGCTAAACTTGTTCGGTTTCGAGTGCAGAAGAAAGAAGCAGGCCTACTGAGGCTTGAGGCACTAACAAAGGGAAAAAAAGGGGTGTTGTCCATTGATACAGAGATCTATGAGGTTACTCCATCTTTTTATTTGGTGGAAATGAAAAAATCAGATGGGGACACATTGGAATATCAGAAGATATTGAAAGAGGACATAAGGCCAGCTCTACAGGATATTGTATGGGTTTGGCGAGGTGAGCACGAGCAGCAGCAGCAACAAAAGCCTCGGCCAAATGACATAGAAGCTCAGCATAAGATATTTGTGTGATGAAATCTAAGCTTGTTATGATGACAGGTTGGCCCAGAGGGGAATTCGGCTTGAGAGGAAGCCCGAAAGAGAAAAGGTTGAAAGAAGACAATATCTGCTAGCAGTAGACTTGAGCTATTACATATGATATAGAGCCAGACACCCCGACAATGTATCTACAAGGACGTTGGCCCTAAAGGGGGGTGATTTGTGAGATCTGACATCAATTGGAGAGATGAATCAGTACCAACAAGGAGGGTTCCAAAGGGGGTGGATTATGAAAACTCCACATCGGTTATAGAAGAGAACGAAACAGTCTTTATAAGAGGTTTGTAAGAGCATGAGCAAACGGAAAAAAACAATATTACCAGCGGTTAAGGGTTTTAGGGTTAATGGGCTGCGGTTAATGGGCTTCTTTTAATATGTATGTATGTATGTATGTATGTATGTATGTATGTATGTATGTATGTATGTATGTATGTATGCATGTATGTATGTATGTATGCATGTATGTATGTATGCATGTATGTATGTATGTATGTATGCATGTATGCATGCATGTATGCATGTATGTATGTATGTATGTATGTATGCATGTATGCATGCATGTATGCATGCATGTATGCATGTATGTATGCATGTATGTATGCATGTATGTATGTATTCAAACTAGGCTTTTCAAGTATCAAAATGTGATCAATTTCAATTCTAGAGAACTCCCCCATGAACCATGGTCTTCAGAATCAAAGATATTTAGCAGGAAAAAGAAACATAATGAAAAAAAGAAAGAAAAAAAATACGATGAATATATCAAATTTTGGTTAATATTAACATTTGGCGGGATCTTTAGATACAAAACTTTTTTTTTGAAAAAAATGAAAAAAAAAACTATGTACATAAGAAGGCAGAGAAAAGCCGATCAAAATGCAAATGAAAAATGACATGAACATATACTTCTTAACTACTTCATGGGGACTCTTAATTCCTCTTCCATTATTATTATCATTATTAATTCAATGGGATAATGAAAAGATATTAATTACTCCACCACCCATCACCTTCTATTTTTTGCCCCAATTTTCCTGTTGGGTTCGGAAGAAATCCACGTCTTACTGGTTCCGGTCACCGGAGTTCTATCGGGACGCCGACGCTACGTTTTCGATGAGATGACATTTCAGCTTTTTCTTCAACAGTTGCTTGTATGATCCTGCATCGACACCTCTTCTTCTCACCTCCACCACCGCCAATCCGTCGATCAACCGGAAAATTTCTATCCGGATAGAAAAATTATGATTCTGTCCAAACAATTCAACTAAAAATTCTCTCTGTTTCTTAACCTTCAAATTCTCAGACCTAGCGAATTCCTCCACTTCTTCCAGGATCTTTTCCGGCGACTCCGCCAGTACGAATCGGTCACTGTCCTCCACTGCGTATTGCGAATCGTCGAACAAACCAGACAGATCTAATCCCGACGAGAACGATATAATGTCGAATGCGTTTAAGTTCTTCGATGGAGATTCGACCTTCGCTTCCGATTTGACCTCGTAATCATCGTAGAAATTGATGTCTGTATCTCCTCCATTTGTGAACCACGGATCATTCAGAATCTCATTGATGGTGATCCTGGTTTGGGGATTCGTATCGAGAAGTCGTGACAGAAACCTCTGGAGATCAGGCGACATCCATTTAGGGCACCGATAATCCCCCCTGTAAATCTTCTTATACAACACCATTAGATTCGAATCGTTGAACGGAAGGTAACCGGCGTTCAACACGAAGAGAGTCACACCACATGACCACACATCGATTTTCGCACCGTCGTATCCCTTCTTCGATAAAATCTCCGGCGCGACATACGCCGGAGTTCCACAGAGAGTATGCAAAAGGCCATCGGCGCGGATCTGATCCGTAACCGCACTGAGACCGAAGTCGGAGACCTTCAGATTCGCATTCTCATCGACGAGGAGATTCTCCGGCTTCAAATCGCGGTGGTAGATCCCACGCGCGTGACAGAATCCAACGGCGGAGATCAGCTGGCGGAAGAATTTCCGGCTGAGATTCTCGCTGAACCTGCCAATGGCGATCTTAGCGAAGAGTTCACCGCCTCTGACGAACTCCATGACGAAGTAGATCTTGGATTTGGTAGCGAGGATCTCAAGGAGTTTGACGATGTGAGGGTGGCGGAGATGGCGCATGATGGTGATCTCCCGCTTGATGTTGAGCATTAGGATTGAGCCGTTGATCTTCTTCTTGTTGATGACTTTGATGGCGACGCTTTGGCCGGAATGGAGGTCGCGGGCATGGTAGACCTTGGCAAAGGCGCCGCAGCCAAGGAGCTTGCCGAGCTCATACCTGCCAAATAAGGCATCGTTATCGGGGGGAGAGGGTTCGATCTCCGGCATCTTCCGGCGGCAGATGGCCAGAGATCGAACGGGGATTAAAGAGATGATCGGTCAGAAGCCGAGAACAGAAATCACCCAAAGAGATTTCGAAAATGATTGTGGAAAGAGAGAGAGAGAGAACAGTTAATATAGAGAAAATTTTGAAGAAAGCGAAAATGGTGAAAATGGAATTTCAATATTATTAATGTTTTTGTTTTTTTTTTTGGGGGGGGAATTTTATTGGCTGAGCTTTCTGGAATCGCACAGCGAATGGAGAATTAGTTAATTAATAATTTAAATTTTAAAAATAATTAAGAGAAAAAAAAAATCAGAGAGAAAGGGAATCCAGCGACGTGGAGGCAGAAGCAACCTTGGGAATGGGAATTTGCTGATTTAATTTATTATTAAATTTAAACATTTAATAAAGATTTGGATTAAGGGTACTTGTTATATTGTGATTGGCTAGGTAAATGACACGTTTGTTAAGTCTGCCACGTCGGCGCCTCTCTATGACGGCTGAAATTAATTGAAATTGAACTTGGAAATGAAACGACGGGGAAGCATGTCGTTTTCGAGATGAAGTTGGAAACTGTCCGATTTTCTTATCCGGCTTTGGTTTGATCATTTCAGATTTTGGGATTGGGATTGTCTTTCTGACAAATATAATGGAGTGGAAAACGGAGAAAAATGGTAAGAATGGGAAGATCTTGACAAAGAATTAGGGTGGCTTTTGGTCAAGAATACGAAAATAGAAATTTAAAAAGGAAAATTACAATTTTGCCCATAAAACTAAATAATTATTGAAATTTTTAATTTTCTTTTAGTAAAAAAGGAAAAAAAAATTATTTCTTAAAATTTGTTTCAATAAATATAAAATACAATCTAAAATGTGGCAGTCCTAAAATACAAATTTAAAATATTTCAATTATAAGGTAGTTATTTCAGGTTTTCAATTACAAATTTTAAAATTTACAAGTTACATTAAAAATGATGAAGACTTTGAAAAATACATAATTTCATGTTATAAACTCATTTTTAAAATTAAGATGTAAATAACATAATATAATATTATAAACATAATGATTAAACAAAATTTATAAAGTCTATGAATTAATTAATCCTAGTTGAGATTTTATATATCATTGAGTTAGCATTAAATATTGCATGGTTATTTAACAGCTAAAACATAGAACAAAGCCGACTTACGCAATAGCCAATATTAATTCTTTTTTCATACGGTGTGGGCTCATTGAATTTTTCTTCCAACTATTATTTATCTTTTTTTTAGTATTTAGTCGTTTTGTTATAATTCCTTAGGTTGCTTATGCGAAGCAGACAGGAACCTAAATTGCTGAAAAATAAAGAGAAAATTTTAGTAAATTTACTCTAATTTTTAATTTCATCAAATTGTAATTTCATTCTTAAATTTAAAAAAGAGATTTAAAAATTCATTAAAAAAATATTATCATATACTTCATGGAATTGTAGTAAATTCAGGACCAAAAATGACAGGGTTTAAAAAGAATGTCATTAAAGACATGTTTTTTTTTTCAAATTTATAAGATTTTTCAAAGTTATGCAAGAATTAATTTAGATATTAATTAAAATAAATTTTATGTAAAAATTATATTAAAATTTCAAAATTTAAGATTAAATTTTATTTCTTTAAAAAAAAAAAAAAACCAAGAAAATGGAAGAAATCAAGGGCAGGAGGGTAATTTCACCTTTGGTTCGGAATCATCCTATGGAGAAAGCAGAGGCAGGCATATGAACGCATATCCACACGCCAGAAGATACCTAAAATATAAAACAAAGAAAAACCCGTACGAATTCAAATCAGAAACAATTTTAAATAATAATAATAATAATAATGCCCCAAAATACTTTCGGAACCACGGGTGGATGTAAGGAAACTTTCATCAACAGATCCACCTACCTTATTACATTGAACCTAAAATAAGTTCACGCTTAATAATTAATATTATTTGAATGCCAATGCCATTTCCATAAATCTTCGTGAAGGTTTCAATACCTCATGATTACACATGTATCAATGCAAACTTACACACTGAATTAAAAAAATTATTTAAATACCAAATAGGCGTGATTAAATTTATCAAGAAGAATGTATGGTATACCGTGCAAGGCGCGAGTGTCCCACATCCGAGAGACGCACCAATGGTGATCAGAAAACCCAAACCTTAGTGCTCCGTACTATTTTAACCTGTCTGCCATATCTCCGACCTTGATCGTGAGTAAATTCGTTATGCTTAGATTTATTTCGACAATCCATGTAGCTCAATGGAAAGAGTATCACTGAATTTCATAAAGGAATTACGAATTGTAGACATCTCTTCTTCAATTCAACGCATAATTTAATGAGTTATAGAACAAAATAGTTGAAGGGATGGAAAGAGACTTATCTGTTTTGTGATCATGGTTCCACGGATGCGTGTATCAGAGATCCCCTTTATAAACCTGGCCCTCCACTCCTACTTGATGAATTCCATCATTTTTAAGCAACCGATGATTCATACTTCTCGGAAGCCGTTTTACAATCATTTACTTTCACCATTCTTCAACGTTGCACGACTGTAGCTGGAATTACCACAATAAGAACTCAAAAACAAAATTTAAACCAAACCCAGATGATACCAGAATAGGAAAACTAAGTAAAACACAGGAAGATTTGAGCAAATAATTAAATAAGTAAAGCTAGCATGGCTGTTAAAAAAAAAAATTGGCAAGTGTTGGGTTAAAATTCATTAAGGAAATATGCCACTTTTTTGCATTATTAGAGAAATAGATGTATTTAGTTTCTTTTAAGATAATTAAATGATTTTAATATATATATACATATTTTATTCACTTGCAGCTTTATGGCACAAAATATCAACAGATACGAAAGAAAGGGCAGCGGCACAGCATGTAAACAAGCACACATAAATATCTTTCAGTAGAAATGAAAATAAAAATTTACACTTAACGGAACAAATGACCTAAATTTAAAAACACGATATCCTCTTCTATGAGCCAGACCAAGCATTTGCTTGGATGCAATTTTCACGAAGAAAGCAACCTTATGCCTCTCTCAGCCTTTTGGCTAAGACCAGCTGTAGTGAGCAACAAAGAAATCAACCCATGACACAAAAAGGTTCAAAATTAGTTGCTGGAATTTCTTAAACAAAATCTTAACGCCCTTGAACATGGGATCAACTAAGTGAGTCTACCTAGTGAAGTTGGAAGACCTGCTCTGTTCTCAACAGAGACGGTAGAAATATCCTGATTGAGACTAGCTTAGATTTTTATCCTCGAGCTAACTAGCACAATTCCATAAATCCAATTGATAATTCATCTCCTATTACATGGAAGTATAACAAAGATAAAAATCAAATCAAATCAAGTTAGTAGCAGAGAGAACTATGAACTTTAATATATCAATACAACTATAGCAAGCAAATAGAAAATGCAGTCTAATATTATGATGGTGTTCAAGCTCAAAAGGCAGGGAAGAGGTCCAGAAAATAGAGCGCTATAATTCATGACGTCTTTGTAGATTAACCTCTTTTTCTATTCCTGGTATGAAGTTGTACCTTCAAAAGTTGGCCAGATGCCTTGCACGGGATCTCAAATGTAGGCTACTCTTACAGTTTGGATCAAGTTTTAAGAGCAAATGGTCCAAATCTATGGCGGTTATGTCATCATGCTTGCCAATATTTCTGCACAGTTATTTGTTTCTATTCTGAAAAATTTCCAAGTGCTTGTTATATTTCTCAACCATAAATATAAAATAATGGAAAACGTAGATCAATGATTAAATGGTGAAAGAATCACATTCCTATCACAAAATTTTAAACCAATTCCATTAGAACGTCATTCATCAGAAAAACAAACTCCATTAAACAGCGGCCCCTTCAACATCAAAATCTCTAGGTCGAAATGACAAAAGCATCACAGTTGATTTCAAGCTCGTTCAATACATAGCAACACCTTTGCGTAAAGCCTCCGACCATCCATTACTCAACTCACTCATTCTATATTTATCCAAAAAAAAAAACGCCATACTAGTTTCCTAAAGTTTGTGATTCGCACTCTACCAAAGAAGTAAACACCGAAAAGGAGAGACCGATTTCGATAATCAATAACGCATATAAATTCATTTACCAGAAAAATTAAGGAGAGGACGGAGCGAAACCTTCAGCAAAGCGTCATCACAAGAGTCCGGAGTAAGCGAATGATCAAAGCAACAGAGAAGAAACGACAAGGAAAAGGAAAGCGAAAAACGAAAGTACAAGCAGCAATCGTACAAATTCAGATTGAAAACTAAATAACTACTATCGTAATATACCATTAGGATCCCCCTCAGGTTTTCGTCGCAATGCACATGTTCAATCTCCGCTTCAAAAGCATTTCCATGGCAACTCACCTTCTCTCTTCCATCACCGGAACCTTAACCTCCGTTACCGCCATTCGCTCCCCCTCCATCCGCGGGAGTACTCCGTATTTTGGTTTCAATAGTCGAAACAAAAACCTTCGCGCCAAATCCCCAACCCACCTTTTATAGGTTGAATTCGTTCAATACAGAAATACCAATAAAGGGGAAAAAAAACAGAAAACAAATTAAATATCTCGTTTTTTTTGTGTCTGATCACTCTTAGACAAAAATGTACCCTAAAATAATTATACATATTTAAACCTTTTAAAGTTTATAATTTAGTTCCTCAAATTTTTAATTTTTAAAATTTCATATACAAAATTAATAATTTGAAAAAATTATGAGATAAAACATTTAATTTTGTTTAAAAAAAAGGAAATACAAAATTTTAAATAGTTTTTGAAAATTAATATAATTAATTTAAAAATTATGAAAGATCGAACCATAGACATTTAAGTGCGCTTTGGAAAAAAAAAACTGTTGTGAATTTCATGACGTTGTTGAACTAAAAAGAACATTGCTTCCCACACTGATGATCTAATTACGAATATAGAGTATGAGGATTTCAACGCTTAGTGTGAGACTCCCGTCGGTTAAAGAGAAGAACGAAATATTCTTTATAAACGTGTGGAAACCTCTCCCTAACATGCAAATCGTGAGGTTAACGACGATACATAATGGGTCAAAACAGACAATATTTACTAGCGGTGGACTGTAACGATTATAAATAATATCAAAGCTAGACACCAAGAGGTGTGTCAATAAAGGCGCTGGGTTCTAAGATGGTGGATTATAAGATCTCACATTCATTGTAGAGAACAAAACATTCTTTATAAGAGTATGAAAACATCTCTCTAACAGAGACATTTTTAACACTGTGAGGAGCATTGTTTATAAGAGTGTGGATTATTTATAAAGGTGTGGAAAGCTCTCTCTAACATATGCGTTTTAAAATCACACGGTTGAGTCAAAGCCAACAATATAACTAACGATGAGCTTAGACTGTTATACTCGACTTCAACGAAAGAAATACATGTCAAGAAAATTTGTAAACAAATATAACATTGTTTCTGGAAGGAGTGAGATGTCACAGCACGCCTTGGACAAGCATGACCATGACACCAACCACTTGAAAAACAAGCACACACATTATACATACAAAAACTCCCAAATAACTCGAGCTATCTTAATACCTTCATGTTCTCCTTCCGACAACTTCCCACCTAATATCGTCGTTTCTCCTCGTTCTCGCTACATCGCTACTTCGGTTCCCGATCGGTTGCCTACTCGAAACCCTTTTGCTGGAAGAAACCTCACAAGGTGCTTGAAACCCGATGCTTTCGACCGCTCCAACCGTCTTGAATAACCGTCTTCTATTCACTTCCTCGACCAACGAACGATGCAGCAATTGGCTATGTACATCTACTAGTGACCTGTTCCTTGTTAATGTCCGGCCGTCCGTTCCCCTCTTGTCTTTGCGACCAGATGTAGCTCCTTGAGATGACCCTGCTACCGCACATTGGCACTGCTTGTATAGAAGCCCAGCCATGAAATCCTTGTTTTTGCGGCTCTCAACAGGACAAAATCTTGAGGAGTTTTGAATCTTATTGATGTTGTTATGTTGATCTACTCGGACTGAACTCATACCGGTCTCGTACTCGTCGCTGCTGATGTAATTCAAGTTTGAGTATTTTCCTGACGCCGATGAGCACTGTGAGCTGCTATCGTCGAGCGTTTCATCTGAAAATAGTGGTCGTGGCGTCGTGTTAGGCGTCGTGTCAATTTTCATAGCATTAAAACCTGTAAAATGAAATCTTGAGCCATACCTGGGAACCAACTTAAACCATTTGATATGTTTTGATTTGTCTTAGGAGAGGTGATGAGACTCAAAGTTGTTGCTTGGGACGACGAGGAGATGGAGCGGAGAGTACGATGAGCTGCATCATCGTCTTCTTCTGAAAAGCTGAATCCGAGTCTATGGTTGGGTAACTCGCTTCTATTCCAGTTTGGAACCAGAGCTGATATTTCTCCTTCGATCATGTCCGCTATTTCAAACGGCTCCCAATCGGAGATCTCCAATTCTTTCACCATCTCCATTGCTACGTCTAACGCTGTGTCGTTAACTATGTCGAAGGGGAAGTATATGTTCCTAAGAGAGCCTGCAGACAGGTCAAGCATCAGGTTGACAGTAAAATCTCGACACTGTAGCACGGACAATGCGAAAAGTACCATCTTTATCAGCAATCTGAACTCTGAGAAAGAGTGTATCGTCTTCCGGGTTCAGCTTCCCGGTGATCGTCATGTTCGTCCTGCTTAAACCTTCACCTAAGTGCAATTTCTCCATCTCTTTGGCATTTAGAAATGGCTTCTGGTTTTGATTCCTCTCGATCGACAAAGGTCTATCTCCATCAACCTTCAGAAACGGATCGGCCAAGAGTTCCTTAGCAGACGCCCTCATCGATACCGGTACCAAACATTTTTTAATAAATCTCTGTGCTTCCGCGTCTTGAATCTTGTACAATGCTGTTGGCAGCTTCCCCTGCACAAAGAAAGAGTAGTGTAGGTATTCGATACTTGTTCCCTTAACGAAACCGATATCGATTTTCAACCCGTTTTCCCTTACCGACGTGACTTTCTTGTAAATCTGTGCGGGATTAGAACACTCGCTATACGGGTACTCGGAAGTAAGCATCTCCAGAACACACATGCCGAACGAGTAGACATCAACCAGCTCGTTGTAATCTTCCTCGTATAATTCCGGCGCCATAAACTCCGGTGTGCCTGCAAAAAGCTCGAGATTAATTATCAATCATAGAATCCGTAAGTTTTTGGTAATAGAATAACGATGGATTCGAACCTATAACACTGTGAGCAGATCTGGAACCATGGAGTATAGCTGCAAGCCCCAAGTCACCAATCTTGACTTGTCCAAGATGGCCGTTTACAAAGATATTATCGCACTTCAAATCTCTGTGTATTATCGGAGGGTCGTGTTCATGCAAATAAACGAGCCCGCGTAGAATCTGGCGCGCCCAGCTCTTAATGGCTCTGATATCGACTCGCCTATACTTCTTTACATATCTGCAGAAGGAAGAAGGTTGTTATAGACCATCACAATTGTAGTAACCCAAGTCCATCGTTAGCAAATATTGGGCTTCCCCTAAAAGTTTTAAAACGTGTCTGGTAGGGAGAGGTTCCCACGCCATTATAAAGAATGTTTTCGTTCCCCACTCCAACCGACGTAGGATCTCACAATCCACCCTCTTAGAAGACCAGCATCCTCACTGACACATCACTCGGTATCTGACTCTCATACCGTTTGTAACCGCCCAAGCCCACCACTAGTAGATATTATCCTCTTTGTGATTTCCCTTCAAGGTTTTAAAACGTGTTTGCTAAGGGAGAGGTTTCCACACCCTTATAAAAAATGTTTTGTTCCCCTCTCCAACCGAAGTAGGATCTAACAATCCACCCTGTTAAGGGTCCAGTGTCCTCGCTGTCACACCGCCCTGTGTCTGACTCTGATATCATTTATAACAACCCAAGCCTACCACTCGCAGATATTGTCCTCTTTCGCCTTTCCCTTAAAGGGCTTCCCGTATTTTCTAGGAAGAGATTTCCACACCCTTATAAAAAAAATGTTTCGTTCTCTTCTCCAACCAACGCATAATCTCACAACATTACACAAAACCTCGAATATACTAAAGACGTGGATCAAAACTTACTCTCTAAGCGTTCCAGAAGTAAACAATTCAGTAATGAAGTTGAAGGTTTTGCGTTCGACATCGATCCAAGAGGTGTAGAATCGCATGATCGATTCATGCTTAAGCGTACTAAGTAGATGAACTTCCGAATACAACCGCTGCAAATCCTCCGGTGACCGGAGAACTTCATTGAGTTTCACCTGACTCCAAGCCACCTCAATTCCAAGAAACTCATCAATGGCTTTGTACACTGTCTTCATAGCCCCTTTTCCCAGAACTTCTTCAAACTACATACATGTTCATCAAGTTCTTCAGTTCATCACAAAGCTTAATCAATCATCAATGATCTTAAAATATTCCCACCTCAAATCCAACACACAAACAATAAACTAATCACCAAAATGGATTAAACAAATCACAAAACAAGTTCCATGCAGAAAAGAGAATCAAGATTGAGAAAAAAGTACTTACACGGCCGTAACGACATGTCGGATCGGTCTCAACGTACCCAAATTCCGAGTTCCAATCAGGGCTGTTTCGAGTGTTCTTCAACATGTTCGACGAACAAATCAAGGGCATAACAGAGAGAGATAAAAGGGCAAAAACGAGAAAAGAAAAAAAAAAACCCAAAAAAGGGCAAACGAAAGCGGTGGTGGTGGTGGTGGCGGCGGCGAAGGCGGCAGAGAGAAACTAAATGTGCGGCTTTCCGTCGTGATTCTCGTAAGAAAAGTGGCGGAAAAGAACCCAAAAAAGCCTGGAATAGTCAATTCTAAGCATAATACATCCCATCCCCACCGCCGTGCTCGACGTCTCGAAGTTTCCGATCTTCAAAACCATTTAGCTCGAGAGCTTCCAGTTCTGTAATATGTATAAATCCCACCACCAGTTTTTTGCTCTGGGTTGTGTTTGGCAAGTGGACAGTCAAATTAGGAAATCAAAGAGAACCCAAAAGGGTTAATTGGTAATTGCCTGTTGGTCGTTTCCGTATTTGGGAAAAGGCACTACGGAACTTTGAGAATTCTGTGGCCACGGCTGAGAAACAAGAAACAACAGAGCAGACGACGAAACACAGAGATGGCAAATTTGGAAACGGAAATAGGAAGAATGAAAATAAAAATTTATTAATAATTACAAAAAAAATATTATTTAAAATAAAATGTTCAAAATGCTGAATTTATTCTTTTCTGAGGGTCATATCTTAATATACAGACACAGGGACATCAGATGAAGACGGAGATGAAACGGAACGGAACTGACACCGCCTGTGGTCCCCACCAAAATTTGGTAATATGTTATATTATATATATTTTAGATAAATTTTAGAAATTAACGGTTAAATTACATAATTGTATGCTTTTTGTAATGGGTTAATTTTAAATATCTTTTATAAATATTTCAAAATTATTTTTAAAAAAAAATTATATGGAAATATTATTTGTAAATTTAAATGGTAAAAAATTAAAATGTATGTAAATTCACTAATTTTAATAAAATTAATTTTTAGTATTTTATAATTTATTAAAAAAACATATAAATAAAGAGTATATTAAAAAATAACCTTTTAGGAATTTTTCAAATGAAAATTTATAATACGGTAAGAAATGCCTCTTTCGGGTAGGCCCTGAAAGGAGAAAGAAGGCTGGAATGCCAACAACAAGCGTCTATTATTGAATTTACCCGACTCGATAATACCCCATTTTTTGGAACGTCCAGTGCCAGAGTCACTGAATGGGTAAGTTGTCAATCCATAAAACGAACTATGTAATGTACTTTATCTGCTGGGTTACGGGTGGGCATTTTAACACGTTTTTCATGTTTAATTTTATGATTCGAAATTAAAATGCAATTTGAGGGTAAAAATAACAAAATTAAGTGTTATAGCCACCATACCACAAACGACGCTGTTTTGTAGTAATGAACACGTCATCACTATTTGACTTTTGTTTCATGCCAGATCAGCGGACGCTTTAGCAAGTACTGATGAGTGGATACCTCCAATATCGACCACCTAGGATGGTCCTTCCATCAAATCTCCTTTTCTCTTTTTTTAAATTAAAAAAAAAAAAAAAATCCTATTTTTTTGTTCGTGTCTCCACAATTTAATTGCCAGGTGTCCCCATCCAATCACAAATTTAGATAAGATGGTATTTTTTTTCAAGAGATGTGTTGTTGAATAATTTTATTTTTATTAAAAAAAAGTATTTAATATTTTAATTTTCTCATATATTCTAAATATAAATTATTTTTTTCTTTATTCCCAAGTATATAAAAAAATTTTAAAAAAATAAATATCTTTACAAAAAAAATATAATAGGCTTCTAATTTAATAAATTCACTTTAAGAAAAGTTGTTATAATAGATATTTAAAATTATATATTTAATAAAAACTAATTTCCATTCTAATAATAATTTCTAATAATTTGATTTTTTTATTGATACTTGTCTTAAATTTTTTTTCTTGTTTAGATTATCCTAATTTTTGGCTTTTTAAAAATATATATCCACACGTGTGCAAATTTCATACTTTTATTTATATATATATATATTTGACTTAAAATAATTTTATGTTGGATGACGTTTTGTAAATTTTTTAAAAAAAATATGAAAAAGGATAAAACGGATGATTTTTACTCGTAGAAACATTTCAAAACTAGTTGTGTCTCGGGAGAATGTTGGGACCATCAATTATTAAATCTAAACTTAGTTAAATAATTTATTTGGGGATTATTAATAAAGACAAAAGAGAAGGTTTTATATTTACATGAAGAGAATTCAAATTTAAATTGGATCAATTATTTAAATAAATAAATAAATAAAGAATTAAAAAATTAAATTTATGTAGAAAAAAAGGGTTTGGAATCTTATTGGGTTGCTGCATATAATCATGATTAGATTCACCATTGAAGGTACCGCTGGACTGTCAGCCACTGATTTCTCACAAAAACATCAACAAAAATGGGTCAACTATCCCATTAATTATCCACTTTAAATCAATTTTTCATAGCCACAACAATTTTAATTATTTATTTATTTATTATTATTTAGCTGCTAAATCATACCACATATATATATATATATATATACATATATTATAAGTTTTAATAGAATTAAAAAAATTAAAAAAATTATTTAAATTTATAAAATGATAAATAAACTATAATATCTAATTTTATTAGATATATATTTTAATTTTATATAAAATATACTAGCTTTTAAATTTTTTTAAAGATATAATAAATACAAAAATGAAAGCCTAATATTTTATTATACATACCATTCAAATTTATATCAAATATTAAATATATTAGTTAATTTAAAAAAATTTAAAAATAATTAGATACAATCTCGAACATCGGAAAGATTCCAAAGCCTCCACTTTTCTCTTAATAATTGAGCTACCATGTTCTTAAACATAGCTTTGAAAGCAACAACCATTTTTGTATGATATGGGCACATAGCACAAATTTGGATCATAATGTCACCCCATATATATATATATATATATAATATATAATATATGATGGGTTGAGTCACGATGCATATAATAATAATTATTACTTTATAGTAAAATGTTCCATGTTGACAAATTATAAAGAACTAAGATTTATATATATATATATATATAATTTGTAATATGAAGCATTATCTCGAATTAAATTTATGTTTGAAGAGACTTAATCTTGATATACTCGAGAACAATATATTTTTGTTATCTCGAGATGTATTGGTAGCTGCAGACGATTTGATTGGATTGAAATTTAGAATGGGTACACTTGACAATATGAATCATTTGAAAAATAAACGGATTCGTTCTGTCGCCGATCTCTTACTAGATCAATTCGTCCAAAGATTTTAGTAAAAGTAATAGCCAAATTTTCATATTTATTTTATGTTTATACTTCCATTTTTATCCAACAAAATTTAAATATATTTAGTATATTGTTTGCTTTAAGGAGTAGGGATGTTTATATGTCTCGATTATCCGACTAATCTGAGCTACTCAACCCAAATTATAAAGGTGTTGGATGAAAGTCTCATATCGACTAGTTTAGAGAATGATGATAGGTTTATAATCAAAGAATACTCTTTCTATTAGGGTGAGACCTATTGACAAAGCCCAAAGCAAAGATGAGAGCTTACAGTGTAAAAGAGACAAAAATTTAGGTCATTTCATGAGTTGACATTTTTGTGATGGTCAAGCTAACAAACTCGGTTGCCATGGTCACTATTCTAGTCAACTTAAAATTTCGAGTTTTCAAGTTAGTCCAAAAGATTTTTGAAACCCGCCCGTATTTTCAAGTTTGCTAATTGTGGACTTTCTTATATACACTCGGCAACCGAGACTTGTTAAGTCAACCTCTCGGAGGCTCAAAAGTCAGACGAATTATATTTGCACCCATTTAACTTGGTCCTATCAAAAGCTTCTAGTTATGACTTTTTGATCGTTTCTCTATCTATCACCATAGCCGCCTTGGATGGACGGTCACAGATCACAACTTTTTATGTTATATGAAATTTTAATAATTTTTTTTGGTATTATTTATTTAAAAATGTCAATAACGTAAGCTTCTTAGATCATTTCATCGTAGTAAGAGAGAGAATAAAAAAAGGAACATTTGATTTTTCCAAAAAAAAAATAAATAAATAAAATTGATAGTTTAATACCGAATAATTTTGACATCTAATTCTTTGAAATAATAGTTTTTAAGTGATAGGGAAAGGTTCAACGAATCTATTTATATATATATATCAGTAAATTAAAAGAACAGAATATAGTAAAATCTTATAAATATTCTGTGTTTTTTTATTAGTTCAATATTCTCCCATTTATAATTATAAGTTTAGCGTGTGAAACCATGTCAATTTAATTCTTTGATTTTTATAAATATTTAATAAGTCAAAACTTTTTAATTTATATTTTATGGATTTTAAATAATTGTAATTTATCTATTAAATTTAATGAAATATATGATATATTCGTAAATTTTAAAAAATGTGGAAAAAGAAGGAAGTTACATGGAAATAGCACGTGATGAAAAGTCATTTAAATATTAAAAAATTGTAAAAAATTGTAAATTGTAAATATCTTTTTTGACTTCAATAATGCTTTAATAATAATTATGAAAATGAATTTTAATGAGGAAAAATTGGCCTAGCTCTGCAACGCCGAATAACGTCATGATAGATTTGAAGGCTGTGATGGACCCAACCATGACTTAAGCGTAAGTCAACTAATTGCACTAGCCGAAAATCAAACCCGGGTCTGTACCGTGGCAAAATATTATTCTACCACTAGACCAGTGGTGCTATTGTTTCTTTAAATTAATAAAATTGACTTAAAAACAAAATGAATTATAAATGGATATTTTGCTATCCAATTTTCATAATGTAGTGTTGAATGAGAATGTTTCCCATCTAATTGTAATTTTATAAAATGAAATTAAAATGTCAGTTTTGTGTTCTTAGGATTTTTAAATTATCTCCGTGTATAAAAAATTTATGATAATCGTTAAACTATATTTTATTCGACATGAAAAATGTATAAATATTAAAAGAAACATGGGATCAATTACCAACTTTGGAAATAACATCTTTTTTAATGCTAAAATTTAATTTTAAACAAACTCTACAAAAGTGAATGAGCCTGCCTCATGATAAAACTAAAAATAAATAAATAAAAAAAAACAAGCTCAGTAACGCTTATTGTCATCCGGGAGGATGATTGAGTGATGGACCCACCATCACTGAAAGCGTAATTATCTTCACAGCTTGTTGAAATGACACCATCGAGAATCGAACCCGGGTCAGTCCCGTAGCAGAGCATTCTTCTACCACCAGGCCACTGTTGCTGTTGTTAGTCTTTGGACTGTTTTATTGTAGTACTTAGTTATTTAAAATTAAATGAATTGACAAAATTGTCGGCAATGTTTAATTTCCCTTTATTTATATAAAATTTAGACATTCTATTCCCATTCCCAGACATTATTTTCACACGTGTCTAAACAAACAAACCGAAAAGAACAAAATTAAACAACGGATAAGGGACAAAAGACATTTATACTCCACGACTAAAACATTCAATAAAAAATTATTGAATGTTTAAAATATTTTATATTTTCAAGGAAGTTTTCTTCGTCCCGTCCCATAAATATCTCTACTTATAATTAATATTACGCAATAAATAAAAAAAGAAAATAAAGAATAAAGCATTATGTTGAGAGATAATAATAAGAGGAAAAACTTAAAGAATATTTTTAATTAGTAAAAACCAATGGTTCTAAGAAATTCAACAAAGCAATGATCCACTCGTATACATGTCTCCAAATTCTTATTATTTCCTCTCCCATTCATCTTTGCCCCGTCTTCCAAGGAATCTAACTGTATTAAAAATACCCTTCTAAGATAAAATAAATCAAACCAACATTACTTGTTTACTGCTACAATCTTCATTTGCCTGCTCAACAAAAGCTTGGGTAAAACATTGATGCCGTCTTAAAAGCTTCGATGTCTTTAATGGCTACCACCGATTTTGGCAGCGTCTCGGCCTCGATCAAGTTTACCTCACAACCCCATACTCGAATTGCGAGTCGTCGACATTTGGGCGACGGTTCTTGCAAATATGTTTTGTACCAATCTATAATGTCTTTCTTTTGAATGCTTTTCAATTCCTCTGCTTCCTTCTGTGAGAAATCGAACACGTACCTGAACAGAAATGGTATTAATATGTAATAGGATGAAGGCGTAGATTGGCCAAAAAGATTTCATGTTTCTGATTTCAACTCCCAAATGGTATTATATAATAGGGTGAACGATACCTCTTATCAATGATCTGATTCCATATTCTATTGGTCTCATAAGAGAGTGAAGGATCCTTCTCCAGCAGCTTAGCGATTAGTCCATTTTTATAATGCTCGAAAGAAGCTTCATCGAGACCAAGCTGGAAAAACAACAAATTTTCAGATATGTAAATGATATGATGCTAAGATTAAAATAAAGTTCTAGCAATATTGTTGCAGGAGGGATTGGGGAAGGCCTGATCTATGATTATGCTGTGAAATGAAGAACGCAAAGGGATTGAGAAACTGAACTTGCATTTAAAAAAAAGAATGAAACACTACATGGGCTTACGAAAATAAAACCCACAGAAAATGAGCCAAACTACAAAAGGAGGCTCCACTAAAGAATAATTACAAAATAATTTTGTCACCAAAGGCCAGACAAACATTGACAAAGCCTAAAAGAGAAATATGGAATCTTAAAAGAGGCGAATATCACTCAAAGTGTGAGATCCTACATCGATTGGAGAGAGGAATGAGTGCTAGCGAGGACGCTGGGCTCCGAAGGGAGGTGGATTGTGAGATCCTACACTAGTTGGAGAGGGGAACAAAACATTCTTTATAAGGGATATGGAAACCTCTCCCAAGCAGACCCGTTTTAAAAATCGTGAGGAAAAACTCGAAAGGAAAAACCTAAAGAGGACAATATCGGTTAGTGGTAAGCTTGGGCTGTTACAAACACGAAGATTGTATTATTCCTCCCATCCCTCGCAATGGCCATAAGATAGTACAAATCCCGGCTCACCACAAAACCTTCCTTTCTCACAAGATTAAAAATCCCACCCATGAGATCGATCAAGTTTTGAAACACATGAAACCATATATACCATTGAACACAGCTGCTACATATACTGCGGGAACATTAGGGGACAGCTACTACACAAACTACATTAAAATGACGAGAAACAATCTCCAGTAGTGCACATATGATAAATTTATATAAAACTAATGAAAAGCCAGTAAAGATAGTGACAGCATGAGAAAGGGCTTGCACTGACCAGTAATTCTTCCAAGCCAGATATAAAGTTCTCAAATCTCTCTTGCAAAAAGATTGGACTGTACTCGGATGATTGAACAGAGAAACAAAAACCATATATGCGGTATGTTACCCGTGGGCTGCATTGGACAACATAACCAAGTTGCTCCTTTGTCCTGTACCATTCAGAGGTATAACAATTATCCTACATCAGAACATAAACGAAATCTGTGCAAATCCCTACTATAAAAATTTCTAGTCAACTAGTCAACATTTTCTATTAAAAACATGCTGATTTCATACACAAGAGAATTTAAGGATTTGTGAAAGATAACTGTCATGGTTTGCTTGCTTAGCTTGTATTGAAGTAATAGAATACACTCTTACTAGCAAGTGAAAAAAGAGATTTACAAGCACCCTCTTCACAATAATCAGATTACATTAATTAATATTATATAGCAAAATGCATTCTATCACAAGCACATTTGGTCCAGAAGATCTATTTGTCACACTTGGACACAATGAGCTCCCTGCCTAGCTGTCCCCCCCAGCAAACCCCCCAAAATCTCAGGGGGGGAAGTATTTATACGCCTAGGCTGACTTGGATGATCAGAGTTCCGTTTCCTTATTGAATTTCTCAGAAAAAGGAAGCAGACAATCAATTCTGATCAGATAAGGTAGCTAGAGACCAAGAGTTGCACCTTTCCAAATTACAAAATCACGTTTGCCATCCCCCACTCGATTCCTAAGTGCATAAAAGAAAAAGGAACTCTTGAAAGGACAGAAAAAAAAAATTCTCATAGGCTTTTCCCCATATTCACTAGATGCAATGGGGATAAGACGAGGAAACTGAAACCTTAGGATGAAAAATGAAAAATACGAATGAGTAGTCCCTCGAAATCTGACCGAGTAACAAAAAATATTTCCAATTAACAAAAAAGAAGAACGCAGGAGCTGCATGAGGAAAAAAATAAATAATATCTCATCTCACAATAAGCCAAAGGGGCTCATCAGAACTTCAAAAATAATGAAATAAAATAGAGTTTCCTTTGCGAAAAAATCTCTCTTAAAAATCACCTTAGCTGATTGAAAAGTGGTTCGTCAATAATTTCATCAAATAAGTCAATCAGAGCCTTTAGTCTGATCGATTCTGTTCCAACCTCCGGCTCAATTTGAAAGTACAGCTGCAACATGAGACAAAAAGTAAAAGCACATCAAGAACAATGTTGACCTGAGCTATCAGATAAAATCGGCAATGGTAAACCAGAGTAAGACTAGGACAAAGAAATATATTTCATTGATCATTACCTCCAGCACAGAATTTCTCTCCAATTTATTTTTTACACTGACGTCTCTAACAAGACTAGCCCCAGGAGGTAGACATATTACACGCTCATAATGCCTCATTCCAAGAGGAAGTGGTTGTACAGAGAAGTTGTCTTTAAATATGTTAGACAGGCTTATTGCTTCTTCTTCTAATAAATTTCCATGGCAAAGTCCCTCAATGTAAAGCTGCTCCAAAAAATAAAAATGTCATCCTCAGAGAATAGGAGTGTCTCCATATAGAACATTATCGAGAAATAAAATGATACTGAACCAACAATTCATTCAATTTACTAAATGTCATGGAAACTATCAATGAACGAAACTGAGGACAATAAAAGTAATGAATCCAACAATTGTTAGTGATATCCAGTGTCAAGAATATGCCGCAGTATTTTGAGGGAAGTGCCTGGTGGTCCATGGGATGATACCTGGGATAGAAGCACAGGGATATGCGCCTTCAACTCAACAAAAGACAGGTCATTTAGGACATTACTTTTCTCATCTGCATCATAGAACCTCTCACACAGAACTTGTAATCTCAAGTATGACGAGTGGCTTCGAGGCTTCATATTGGTGTTTCTCAAATTCCTCTCCATATTTTCTTTAATTACCTTTATAAAGTCTGTGTCAGTTTTTCATTGTAAACCAAATACCAGGAAGCAATCATTAAGACTAACTCCCAAAATCCAAGAATAAATTATGCCATACACCTTAAAACGATCTTCAGAAGGCATAAATGTCTTGGCAGTTGATAAAAGTTTAGCCAGAAGATTAGGAAGCTTATCATTGAAACCAAACACCTTCAGCTCCAGCTTGTCGCCAATAATAGCTACCGAAGTTTCCAGCTTGGCAATGCTAGCCTGAAAAGGACGAACATAAGCTCACAAATTTAAATGATCCGTGGTGATTTTATATGGTAACCACTATAGCGATTGAAGTCTTAATAGAAACGATTAGCCATACTCTTTATAAAACAGCTGAGGATAACAACCCCTCAGCCTCTCTCACAAATATAGCAAGAAATGTAGTAATACAAAAACATAAGTGGTTAACCTGGTATATAATCTCATTCAGCTTGTCCTTAAGGAGGTGAACAAATAACTCGGTCAAAAGACAATTTTTCACACTACTGTACCCCCCACTCAAATTAATACGAAAATATGTATTCGCCCGAGGAAGTTTAAAAGAATCATCCAGCTTGTACCAGAACTTCATCAATGGTTCATCAAGTATGCATCTTGGACAAGACTCGCAGGAAAGGTCATTACAAACTTGACTTGCGCGAATGGAAAAATCACACGGAATGAATTCATTCTTTGCAGGCAGATGAAGTGAAGCATCAATTTCAGGAGGGTCCCTCCACAGATCCATCAAAGAAGGAGCAATATCATCCACAGTATAATGTGATCCAAACCAGGGTTCAATTTTGAAGTCTGAAAGAGAGAAATTTAGCAACTTGACATTGAATATGCCACTTATAAGCTTAAGTACTAATTGGCAGAACATGTCATGTTTTAGAAGACATAAAAATTAATTCCACCAAAAAATATTCCATAGATGTCTAACACCTCAGTATTGAAATCCAATTGAAGCGTTGACGCTTGCTCTACTCAAGGCCTCATCAAAATTGCAA